ATTTTCTTCAAAAAATTTGGGTATGAAAAATCCATGCGCTATAAAAAAAAAAAGACCGACAATTTTGAGAAAAAAAAACAATATTTTGAACTTTTTGCTATAAAACATGTCCACTAAAAACATTTTAAAATCAAATTTTGTCATAAATTTAGGCCAAAATGTTTTCTGTGACATGTCTTTGCTAAAAAAAAAATCCCAATACGTGTAAATTAATTGGTTTGTGTGAAAGTTATAGCGTTTACAAATGGCGGTATAGATACTGTACTTTTTTTTTTTTTTATTCGAATAGCGGTGATCAGCGACTTATGGCGGGACTGCTGCGGACAATCTGACACTTGGGGGGGGGGGGACTGACTTGAGGTCACTGACATCCCCAGTGACACCAATATAGTGATCAGTGGTAAAAAAAACAGCACTGACACTGTACTAATGGCACTGGGGAGTAATGGGTTAACAATGAGAGGCAACCAAAGTGTTAACTGTGTGAGAGTGTTTTACTACTGGGTGGTGTGCTTCACTGTAAGCACACTGATGTGTGTAAACACACTGTGCTCAGCCATCCCAAGCCCAAACTGATAGGGAGGAGAGCTGCACTGTAAACAATGCAGCCGTCTTCCCTGTTGGTGTTTGCCGGTAATCACCGGGCACCTGCGGGTAATCACCGGCTGGGACCCGGTGATTGACTCCTGGGGCCACGATCGGCGGTGCGGGTAGGGCAGTCACATGCCTTGGCATGCCCCCTACCCGGAAATGCAGAATCATGTATATATACGTGATCCTCCGCACAGGGGCCGCCTTGTTGCAGTATATGTACTGTGGGAGGTCCCCTAGTGGTTAAGGATCGGCAGCCACCCTCTCCTTAATTATAATATTTACTGCTTGTTAAGGACACTGGCAGCCACCCACTCCTTATCAACCATGCCTGGAACACTACTTATTTACCACATGCATTTATTTTATTACCTTTAGTGTATTAAATTTTTTGGATTTTGAGGTAAACACTGCACAGTGGGATAGGGAATTGACATTTTCAGCATTGTATGTAATATTTAGGAAGTATGTGTTAGATCACCTAAATACCGCATGTGAGGTGATTTAATGAATGGAGCCTACTGTGATGCATAGGGACATTTTTGGGAAACATGAAAAGGGAATTTAACCCATTGCCACTGCCTCCTGGTAATAGTAAATCTGATCATATATAGAGGTCTACAAATCACACATTTTACAGTCTGGGCTGTGTTTTTTTATATAAAATAAAGTGAGCGCTCCTGTAAAACAGTAAAAGTAAGCAGCTAATAGCACTAAAGGAGATCACAACCGCCTCAAGTATAAATAAATAAAGTGCAGCGCTAAAAAACAACAAGCAGAAAGTTTGATCTAAAAAAATTCGATCTAAAAAGTTCGATCTTAAAATTCGTTATCAAATGTTCGTTAATTATTCGATACAGTAATAAAGTATGCACAGCTATGAGGAATCCGGAAGAAATGGCAGAAATGCGCACTCACCGACCGCGCATAGGAAATGCGCATGTGTGTATTAAATTCCGCAGATGTCGATCTCCCTCAGGAAGGGGTGTCATCAAACGATAGTCTGCTGGGCTCACAGGACCTCCTTAAGATCAGGATGGATCAACCGGGTAAAGACTCCCTCCAGGTAAAGGCTTCCCTCCTCTGGATGTAGTATGTATTGGAAGCTGTGTCTGCTGACCCCTCAATGAGGGGCAAAAAGTGGAAGAGTACCCATAGTGTAGTATGTCAAAATTTTATTGGTAACAAACTCAGTGCAGGGTAGGTCAGTAATGGTACTGGCAAGTGCCAGAAAACACAAAATGCAAGATATAATGTTACTGACCCTAAAAGTAGAGTGGCCGCCAGACCTCCTCGTGGTCTGGGCGGCAATGAGGCGTCACAGGCTGTCAGTTCCTCCTGAGGCCTTTCGTGCTAAGGCACATCATCAGAGGGGATACTGTTAGCTCTTTGACAGACGCCAAATGCTCAAATAGTAAAAAACGGGAGTCGCGCATGCGCACTAACTCGCTGCCATTTTCGGAAAGACCAGGCAACTGCACATGCGCGCACAGCTAGGCGCCATTTTGCCGTGGATATAAGAAACTGTCAGCTGAAGTGCATTACACATCGCTGGCAGAGCACACAGAACGGTGCATTTGAGCCAGAAATAGTGGCTCATAATCCCAGGGGAGATGATCAACGTAATAACTCCAGTTTCCATTGGAATAATACAGCCACAAGCCCCTTCCCAGATAATTTAGCACCAAATTGGTGATTAAATGAGGGGAATAGTACTAACACCCACGGCATAAAAAGGTGCTCCAGGTGCTCAAGTCTGTAATCTGGTTAAAATATTGCATAAAATATAGCAAAAAATATACATTATTATGTACAATTATATTAACAGCCGGTCAAAGAACGGGGATAGTCTCTAATGTACAAAAATCACCACCGCTAAAAGAAAGGACCGGTTTATCTGCATTTTGAGACACCATTTCTTTGCCGAGGAAATTAAAAAACGATAGCTGAAATATGTTTATACACAGCGATCTTAGCGCATACAAAAACGCACAAATAGTGGTACGCAGTCCCAGGGAGGTAATCATGGATAGCGAATCCCCCTACTCAATGATTTATCACCGAGATTGGTGAATTATCGGGGGAAATAACACTAATTTATCCATGGCATATAAAGGTGCTCAGGGTGCAGCAATAAATAATAAATAAAAGAAATGCTCAGATACATGAATAAAAGAGAGGAAATATATCCCTATGTGAAAACACAAATAATAATTCACTAAAAACTATTCATAAAATAGTGAATAGGATAGCATAAAATGAATAGGATAGCTATTGTGTTTTTATAGCTGACTGTCTTCCCCTTAAGGATATTTTTCTTCACTTTCTGTGACACAAAGACAAGAATTTATGAAAATGTTCTTAACCGGTTAAGGCACAGGTAGCTGGAAAAAACCCCGCAAAATCACACACTCTGGCACCAACAGTAAGGGTAAAATTAAATGTTACCGAGGTTCTAACCCTACCCCACTCTTTTCATATTTAAAGAAGATATTCTGGCTTAAGTTAGGCTTTAATATTGTGACATACCGTATTGCGTATATAGTAGAATCTTTGTATGTGACAATTTGCATGTGTTTGGCTTAAAGCGGTTGTCCGGTTTCCTCTGAAAAAAATAAGTCAGCAGCTATGAAAACTGTAGCTGCTGAATTTTAAAAAACAGACACTCACCTGTCTCACTATCCAGCGCTGTGCTCACCCCAGCTGGGTTCGCCAGATGTCCTCTGTTCCTGAAACAGACATCTTTAGTGAGGGCCCCCTGCTGTGATAGCTTCACAAACCAGGAGACCACTGCACGTGAATGGTCCCACAGTCTTCTGAGACCTTTCACATGTCCCAGAAGAATGTGGGACTCCCCAAAGGTGCCAATTCTTCACAGAGAGTGTGGGACCAGTTCTCTTTTGGGTGGAGCTTCGCTTTGTTAGGTTGTGGACTTTGAAAGTTTGAATTGGGGACATGTTTAGGCAGGAGATGCTGTAGAGACTGGACAAGTGTACTAAAAAATATATATTCCCTCTTAGGACAAATGACCAAAGGTATCTATTTTAGTCCGTTGACATAACTATTGTTTTATGTGACTGATTTCATTCCGACATCATATGGAAAGACTTGTTTTAATAAAATATGAAATCTTTTTAAAATATTAAAATATAACATTCATATACATAATTTCTACAGGACTATCAAAATGCTCTCAGGCACCTGTTTACCTACACAATAGTGTGTTTACATCAACACCTATAATGGTATGCATTTCCCAGGGAGTGATTAGTTGTAATTGTGTTTTTGTGCTTTTGTCTTTACCTGTTTTTCATCAAGCCAACCAATGTCTGTGTAGCTGAGCTGAGAGAGGTGTTTGTAGTCTATATATGTGGTGGAGGAAAGATGTTTTTATATGGAGGTTGTAGTCCTTAGTGATTTGATCATGTTTTTTTTGTAGAAAGAGAACTTTAGAAACTTTTCTTTCTTAAAGCGGAGTTCCACTCACTCTGTAAAAAAAAATAAAAGTCAGCAGCTACAAAAATTGTAGCTGCTGACGTTAAAAAAAAAAAAAAAAAAAAAAAAAAAAAAAAGCCACTCACCTGTCCCAGGATCCCGTGTTGCCACAGCCTGTGCCAATCCTTAATGGGGAGCAGGGGACCAATCTTTAAAGCAGATCTTCCCCTTTTGGGTGGAATTCTGCTTTAAGCAGGTTAGGGGAAGATTTAGGCTTAAAAGTGTTTAAAATTTAGATTTTTTAAAATTCTTTTTGGAATAGGAAATCATTTTTTGTAAAGCTTTCCTCCCGCTGTAGGAATTGGGAGCATGTCTCAGGCAATTTGCAACTAAGGATCCCAGACAATGTAATCAACATTTAGACCATTCAGCACTGATTCCCATCCACTGCTCCTTTTGATTTACGGACATTATTCTGCACTAGCGCTACATTCATTGCATGGATTATTTCATCTGACAGACCAAGTGCAAGCCTGATATTATGTAGTATTCCTGCTTAATTTTTTTCTGAAGTCTTACCTGAAGAGAGAATTTAAAATATTTAAGTTGAGCTTGGAATGTTAAAGTGCCTGTTCTGGCTTTACTGTTAATTCTGTGACAATGATGTCATATTTTCACAAAGTCCTAAAGTGTGTGTGTGTGTAGTTTTTTTTTTTTTTTTTAAATGGCATGTTATTGGTTTTCTGCATAACTACTGCAAGTAAACAATTTATTATGTATGTCACTGTGTTTTTGAATTTACAGGTAGTGATTAATTGCTGTAACCATGATGTGGTTTTTTTTGTTTATGAAAAGGTGTCTGCATTTATTTCAACACTTTTTCTGTATTCTTAAATAGTTCATTTTTGTTTTTTCAAAGTTTGGAAAGAAAACATGTTTTAGCACAGTCTGCTAGACTATTTTCTGTTGTTTTTTCAGGCACATGCGCAAAACCGAAAATGCTGGTGGAGACAGTTTGGGCTGTGAAGCGGATGAGTTTTCAGATGAAGCCAATGCAGAAACCTTCTATGGCACCTCTCCTCCCAGCACTCCCCGACAGATGAAACGCATGTCAAGCAAGCATCAACGAAACAGCTCTGGGAGGTCGGTTAGCCGTTCCTTATGCAAAGGTCAGTTATCAGTTTATATTTTAGATGTACAGAAGATGACCAGTATATTTATTCATATGTATAGTACAGCTCTGTCCATATGGCTTTAACACCACTTAAAGGAACAATAGATAAACTATATATTTGTAAGGGGAATATATAGTGTTAGTGTATATGGTTTATTTAGTATGTTTCAAAAAATACTGTCAATTTATGAAATATTGCTGTTTTTGTTTTCTTTTTTTAATATTCACCATGGGCAAAGAGCCTAAGGAGAGTAGTATTTGTTTCCCTGCTGTTCATCTTTGTTAGGAACACACACAGCTGCATAAGCTGGGGAGGACACCCTTCCATTGTCTTTAGTTCATACAGCTGCAAGTAGTGTCAGGGCTATGGAGAGATGGTTTGAAATAAGCAGCTACTGCTCGGCTGCCTTATTGGAACTGCAAGCTTAGAAGCATCGACCATTTAAATGTTATTTCTAATATGAAATGTTAATATAAAAAAGTTACAGAAAAAGTATATAAATATGTAATATATTAAAAAAAATGTTTTAAGATTAAATCAACGTTTAAATTACATTTATAGACAGATGGTAAATGTTTCCAGGGATCATTGAAACAATTTTAGAGCAAGAGCTCTTAAAGTATGGGTCAATATGTGCAATGAATAAATTCATGCTGCTGGGGCAGAGCGAGCATTTTATGATGGTGCCAGCTTCAAGGCACACAGAGGCATCAAGTGCCTTGCAAATGGCAGGTGTCTGTGCACACCTATTCTGAGGCTTCTGTGTGACTGTATCTGAGGTCTGCTTTTTATGTACAGTGGATAAAATGTATTAATGTATTGTCAAATACTATAACGCTTTTATTCTGATGTGGATTGAATTTTCCATCTTTATTAGCTGCGGAAATTGTTTTTGAAACTTGTGCTGTTAGAAATGACAGAAATAAACTAGGCTGACCTTTGTTCTTCATCTGCTTTTCTGTTCTGCTCAAAGTGGAGCTTCTATTTTCATGGAAGATCGGCTCTCATGACAACACCCCACCCCCAAAATACAAATGTCTTTTTAAAAAAAGCCTTTTTTTTTAAAGAAAGTATTTGCCTCCGCCCCAGCTATCTATATTTTCATAAGGTGACATAACCATCCCTCACCATTGTCTCCTGGTAAAGATAGTAGCTAAAATTCCCATAAGAATGTGCTCTAGTTCTTTGCATTCTCTGTATTCAAGCTCCCATCTCTCCTCGATGGTAGCAGTGTGGTATGCAAATTGTTGCATGCATGTTATGTGTTTTTGTTTTTTTTAAAACTTAATCTACTTTGCTTCTGGTGTTGTCAGTACAGTACTGATTCTTCCTCTTTGGACGTTTAGCTGGCCTAGGGGAGAGTAAAACTGTAAATCCGGGCCTGCTGCCTCCCCTTGGCGTTTACATGTCTGAGCAAGGGGTGGAGTGACACTGGTTCTCCAGGGGGTGCCCCAGGAATTTCGCAATTCTATTGTAATGAAGCTCAGAATCTTTGCCTCACTGCTGCTATCCAGAGAAGCTAAGAGCTTGAATGCCGTGAGAATGCAGAGGTCTGGAGTGCATTACTATGTGACTTCTTTTATGAAGTATAATTGCTTTATTAGCAATATTTTAGCCTTTCACTTTTCTGATTTACAAGCGGAAAACAAATAACTATATTTGAATTGAAACATACGTTTATGGTTTTATGTATTTTTTTTTTTTTCCCCCTCTCTAATTATTCCACCACTGTTACTAGTCTTTTGTATGGTTTTGCTTACATTTTGGTTATAATTCCTTTCTTAGATCCCATGTTTTTAATTTGGATCCTTGGATTAAAAATTTTAGGAACCTCTGCTTTAGCACATGCTATTTGCACTAATGCTGACTAATAGGGCTGCAGCGAACTATTAGTTGGCTGATTTATTGTTTCTATTAACCTGATAAAAACCTCAAAGTGTGGTGAATATGTAACATTTAAAAAAAAAAAAAAGTTATTTTTGTATATCTATATGTAGTGGTAAATCTAAATAATCAGCTACATGGTTAGGAAACTAGATATCCACTCTGCGAAAGATAGAGGTTGAATCTGGTACATATCATCAGACTCTGAGATCAAAATTTTTATTTAAAAAAAAACAAAAACAGTGGTTTGCAGATTTTCAGACAGGATTGTAGTATGATGCATGACAGACCCCCTTGTCATAGGCAGGTAGCTTGATACACACTCCCTGTGCCTGCTGTGAGTAAGACATTTACTAGTAGCAGTATGCTTTTTGCATCATCTGTAATGATGGGGTTAAAATAATCAAAAAATAGCCCTTTCATAGTACATAAACAGCAGATAATCGCTACTATAATTTAGGATTCATTTATACTGTGAAACCATGAAAGTAATAATATACTGTGTGTATATCTCCTATATCATACATACCGGCCACTATATTAGGTAACACAAATTTCTAATCTGCCAATCACGAAGCGGGTGGCAAGCTCAGGGGTGGCAGCCCTGGATGTCACTGCTATCCCTAACAGCCAGGAGGGAAGAACATTTGAAAGGGGTGGTGAGGGTACTGCAGGAATGCCTAGACAGTTGGCCATAATAGGGGATTCTATAATCAGAATACTTTGTCACCAACCGAATGTTTGCTGTCTGCCTGGTGCCAGGGTTTGGCATGTGGTGGACGGGGTTGATAAATTACTGGGAGGGGCTGGGCATGACCCAGCTGTTTTAGTCCATGTTGGAACCAATGGCAGAATACATGAAAGGTGGAGGCTCCTTATGAATGAATTTAAAGAACTAGGCTGCAAGTTGAAGGGAAGGACCTCCAAGTTATATTCTCTGAAATATTACCTATGCCATGCGCAACTCAGGAAAGACTGGGAGAGATTATAGAACTAAATTCATGGCTAAAGACTTGGTGAAAGAAGGAAGGATTTGGGTTTCTAGAGCACTGGGCTCATTTTTTATTGGGGTGCAACCTATATGCTAGAGATGGTTTACACCAAAATGGAAGGGGGTCTGCTGTGCTGGGGGAGAGGTTTATGGGACTGCTGGAGGAGTATTTAAATTAGGATCAAGGGGGTAGGGAGAATTAGATTATAATGGGGCAGACAGGTCAGTTGTTATTGGTGGGTGGAATGGGGAAAGATGGAGGGGCGGGCTATGGCAGGTGATAAGAAGGTACCCATGTTACAAACATTGGAATTGGTATCATTTGTACATAAATAAAAAATATGCAAAATACGTGTGCAAAGGGTATCAATGAATTAAAGTGTTTGTTCACCAATGCCAGAAGTCTGCCAGGCGAAATAGGTGAGTTGGAAGCTTTAATTGGTATTGCTGAATCTTGGCTTCATTCTTCACATGACTGGGCCATTAATATTTCTGTCTATGTTCTCTTTGGAGAGACAGGGTAAAAAGAAAAGGTGGTGGTGTTTTTCTTTATGTGAGAAGTGATCTCAGAGCGAGTGTAAAAGAGGACCTAGTTGATGGAGAGTGTGATGAGGCTGAAGCATTATGGGTGTGAAATGTACAAGGGGGTGTTTACTAAAAAGGTAATCCTTGGATTTTGCTATAGGCCACCCAGTTTTAATGAGGAGGTGGAGACTCAGCTCCTTGCACAGATCGAAAGGGCTGTGACAGTGATGATAATAGGGGATTTTAACTACCTGGAAAGTGACTGGAGAAATGGAAATGCAGGAACAGTTAAAGGGCAAAAATTTATAAACCTACTTCAGGACATTTTTATGGTACAGTTCATAGAGGCCCCAACTAGGAATGATGGTCTGCTGGACCTGGTAATCTCAAACCATGCAGAGTGTATTACTAATGTCCATATAAAAGACCATCTGGGTAGCAGTGACCATAACATGATTTAACGCCTTGTTGGCTGTAAACAACAAGCACACACGGGAAAAATAAAACTGCTCAATGTTAAGAGAGCTAATTTTCCAAGGCTGAGAGCTGCTCTCAAAGACTTAGACTGGGAGGGAATATTGGCATCAATGAACACAACACAGAAATGGGAGTTCTTCAAAAAGACTATGTGAACACACTGCAAAATATATTCCCATGGGCAACAAGTTTAAAAGGCTAAAAGTAAAACCTATGTGGCTTATGACCAAAGTTAAAAAACCTCTAAATAATAAGAAAAGAGTTTTTATGAAATATAAAAATGAAGGAACGTTATCATCGTTTACATATTACAAAGAATATAACAGAATATGTAAAAAGGAAATCAAGGTCGCAAAAATTGAAAACTAACAACAGATTGCAAAAGATAGCAGGACAAACCCCCAAAAATTATTTAAATATATTAAAAGGTCAGAACCGAGCATGTAGGCCCTTTACAAAATAATCTAGAGTGGGTGACTGGGGACAAAGAGAAGGCAAATTTATTAAATACCTTCTTCAGCTCTGTGTATACAAAGGAGCATGGGGGAGCTCTTGTCCATAATGGGCATGGTATTTACACAGCTCCAGATGATCCACATTGGCTTAGAATTGATATGATCCAAAAATATGTAGACAGAATAAAGGTGTATAAAGCACCTGAACTGGATGGCATACACCCATGGGTCCTTAAAGTATTGAGCTCTGTCATTTTAAAATTATTTCTAATTTTTAGGGACTCTTTAATGACTGGCATAGTATCACTGGATTGGCATAAGGCCAATGTGGTGCCTATTTTTAAAAAAAGGATCAAAAATTTTACCAAGTAATTATAGGCCTGTTAGTTTAACTTTTATAGTTGGGAAGATACTGGAGAATTTAATAAAAGACCACATACTGTAGATGAGTTCTTGCTGGAAAAAAAAAATATTTTGGCAACAGACCGCATGGATTAATGGAAGGCAGAAGTTGTCAAAAAAATTTGTTTTCTTTCTATGAGGAGGTGGGCAAAACCTTGGATAGAGGGGTGGTTGTGGACGTGGTATACTTGGATTTAGCAAAAGCGTTTGACACTGTTCCCCACACATGGCTAATGCGTAAGGTAAAGTCTATAGGCTTGGAAAAATTAGTATTCGCTAAAAAGTTTGTATTCAGAGAGTAGTGGTTAATGATTCATACTCTGAATGGTCTAGGGTTGTCAGTGGTGTACCCCAAGGTTCAGTGTTGGGACCCTTACTTTTTAATATATTTATAAACTATGTAGGGTCTGGGATTAAAAATACTGTTTCAGTCTTTGAAGATGACACCAAGCTATGCAGTGGAATAACATCCTTTCAGGATGTCTCCAATTTAAAAGCCAACCTCAATGCACTGTTTAATTGGGCAACTATGTGGCAAATGAGATTTAATGTTGATAAATGTAAGGTTATGCACTTGGGGGCTAAGAATATGCATGCATCAAACATACTAGGGGAGTACAACTGGGGGAATCAATGGTGGAGAAGGATCTGGGAGTTCTGGTAGGTCATAAACTTACCCACTTGCCTACTGGGCACTTATACCCCCTTCGTGCCCAGACCAATTTTCAGCTTTCAGCACTGTTGCATTTTGAATGACAATTGCGCAGTCATCCTCGCTTGTATTAAGAGGTATAGACTCCAGAGACAGAGGGATATCATTTTACCCCTGTACAAATCATTAGTAATACCTCATTGGGAATATGCAGTTCAATTTTGGGCACCAATTCACAAAAAGAACATTGGGGAACTAGAGAAAGTATAGAGAAGGGGGCAACCAAATTGATAAGAGAGAACTACACATCCAATGAGGTATTGCAGGGCTGCCAGTGGAAAGCATGACTTACAAAGGCAGAGACATGATGGGACTTGTAGTTTCTCACCAGCTGGTGGGCCACAGTATGCCACTTGTGCCTTAGTATAAGGTCAAATGATCTTTTTAACAAAGTGCACTTTTTTTTAGCTCCCCTTACCTAACAAAACCAACCTTCCTCAGGTGCATACTTACCTCAGTCCAATGGTCATACCTGCACATTACAGCCTCAATGACTTGTATGCAGTTGTGTCTCCAGCCTCAGGAGACTGCTCTATAAAAATCTCTGGGTTTGTCATGCATGGTCACAGCCAGGGTTCTGAAGATCTACTTGCTCAGTGAAAATAAATATCAGAGGTTGTGACTGTTGGATTAAGGTTATTATGCACCTGGGGTAGGTTATGTCAAGGAGGGGGCTTTCTTTTAAAGTGCACATATCCCTATACCTGTAAAAGCCTTCCATGTGTTTGACCTTTAAAAACTCTGAGGCTACTGCCAGGAGCTGCCATCTTGGATTTGATGCTAGCAGATTTTGTGACACTTTATAATATCCCCCCAGGTGCTGCATAGAAAGTAATTATCAGCAAGGGGCACATAATCTATGAGGTCATGGGGCTTTCCTGGAGTAGCAAGTAAGCCTTTAAAATACAAATGTTTTTTAATCTGTTTCCTGCAAATTTGAAGCAGAAATAGTCCCTTTTTTAACCGTAATCATCCCTAATTAAAGTAGAAGAATGCCCTACTTTTAATAATAGTTAGTGTTAGCCTTTTTTTTTTTTTTTTTTTTTTTTTTTTTTTTTTTTTTTTTTTAACTTTTCCATTAAACACCATTACATTTGTTATGATTTTGCAGTGTTTTGTACCAGAAACTGTCATTGTAAGCAGGATAATTTATAAAATACTCTCGTAACACTGGTCTAAGACCTTTTTCACATCTATGTGGGTCGTTGAGGGTGTAGAAATCACAAAATATGCTGTGAGAGAAGGCGCGGGCTGCCCTTCATTGTGAACGGCACCTCCCACGCATGTAAAAACGCAGCACCTCAAAAGGACCATGTGATTTCCCTGTTGGCCTCATTTGAAAAAAAGGTGCATGCATCTTTTTCATCGGGAAACGCAGGCACGGCAGCTCATTCAAATGAATGGGCTGCTGTGCCCAAGCAAACGTGGCCTGCACACATGTAAAGGTGTGAACCAGACCCAAGTAGGAACAATCCTTTTTTTTTTTTTTTTTTTTTTTTTTTTTTTTTTTTCTATATGTATTTCATATGTATTTCTTTGTTATCTTGGTTAAATACAGTAAGTCCATAGCAGAAATATAAATATTGCTTTATCCATGATTAAGGGTTCACTGATGCGAGAGCTGAGCTGGTTAAATGAATTGCAGTGAAAAGGCAAGTTAACTAAATGCATATGTATACACCCCCTTTAAATCAATATTTTATGAATGTACCTTTAGAAGCAATTACAGTCTTTAGATGTAGATTTGTAACAACTTTGCAAAAGCATTCATCTCGGTGAATGCTTTTCAGAGGAACTGTATCTACATATAATGACAACGTCAATAATATTTTATTGTTTCTTTACATTACAGAAAAGATGAGCACACCGAAGCAGACACCACAGAAGGAAGCAAGTAAAAACCTTGAGAGCACAGAGGACCATAGCTACCGTCAAGAGAAAAAGAATAGGGCAACGCTCAGGACAACAGAGCGGGATCAGAAGAAAAATGTGCAATGCTCATTTATGCTGGATCCTACCTGTAGTTCCTTGCCAAAAAAATCTATACCAGATGTTGATCTTAATAAGCCTTACCTCAGCCTTGGTTGCAGCAGCAACACCAAGCTACCAGTGTCCGTGCCTGTTCCAATTGCTAGAACTGCACGACAGACCTCTAGAACAGACTGTCCAGCTGACCGCTTGAAGTTTTTTGAGACACTTCGTCTTTTGCTTAAGCTTACTTCAGTCTCAAAGAAAAAAGAAAGGGAACAGAGAGGCCAAGACAATAACTCTTCTATGTGGTTTAATCAGTCTAATGAACTCTTTTGGCTAGAGCTGCAAGCTTGGCATGCTGGCCGCAGTATTAATGAGCAAGATTTGTACTTGTATACAGCTCGACAGGCAATACCTGAAATCATTAGTGAAATTCTAACTTTTAAGGTAAACTATGGGAGGTTGTCTTCTGTCAGCAATGGTGGCAATCTCAATGGACCTGTTGCAGACGGGCAGTATCCATGCCCTCATGAAGCTAATTCTTTTGGTTATTCAAGCTATCATGACCATATTCAGAAACAGAGAATTTCTTTTGAGCAAGTAAAACAGATTATGGAACTCTTGGAGTACATCGAGGCACTTTACCCATCTTTACAGGCTCTTCAGAGAGATTATGAAAAATATGCAGCAAAAGACTTTCAAGCACGAGTGCAGGCACTATGCTTATGGCTTAATATAACTAAGGACCTTAATCACAAGCTGAGGATTATGGGAACTGTTTTAGGTATAAAAAACCTTTCTGACATTGGCTGGCCAGTGTTTGAAATTTCTTCACCACGTCCATCAAATGGTCCAGAGGAAGACAATGACATGGAACAAGAGGGGGATATGAGCACAGATGGTTCTGGAACTTGTACAGAAGAAAGCGATGAAGAGACTGGTGATATGGACAATATTCTACAAGCTAGGCATGAAACTGACAGCAACCAAAACAGTAAATTAAAGGTTCACTTTATGAAGGAGGACCACTGCCTACAAAAACTGGATAGATTTGTGTCCGAGGATGACTCTTGCTGGGGTAATCCAGAGTGCAGCCATGAGACTGGCTGTAATAGACACTGTTTGACTTCAATATACAGACCCTTTGTAGACAAAGCATTAAAGCAGATGGGGCTTCGGAAGCTAATTTTGAGGCTTCATAAATTAATGCATGGCTCACTTCAGAGGGCTCGAATAGCATTGATAAAGACTGATCATATATTGGAGGTAAGGATTACAGGTATTTTATATTGTACCGGCAAAAAAAATCCACATTCAGAATCAACTTCAATCTATCTGACCTAGATGACATTTGTAGCAATAATTTTCAGCAGTCATATATTTTTATAGAAAATGTGTATGTTACTACGCCAAGCAAAAACTTTTTTTTGCTAATAGTCCTCCACTGGGTATTTAAAAAAAAAAAAAAAAAAAAAGTACAGTCTTCAACAATAATTCCATTCTGCAAGTAGATGTCCTCAGTTTTCCTGACTGAATTATACCTAGTGTCATTCAGCCTAGAAGACGGAGGACATACTTTCAGTTATATGTTCTGCATTCACATTCAGTTATGCAGAGAGCAACACTGGCGCTATCATGGCATTGTTGCTCTCTGTATCACTATGGACTGCTCAGATCTGGATAAAAGGAAGTAGACTTCTGAAGAAGGTAAGGTTACAAAAACAATGCCTAAATGACATGCTGGGGAGACCTATGAGGGAAGAAGTGCGCATGAGGGGCAGAGGGCAAAGCCCAAAATTGGGCTTTATAATCAACCCAAGAGGAGAGGTTATGAGAGCTGTCATTACTGAACTATTTGCAAAAGGGGGTAGGCTTAAAGGTTTCACCCTGATCCTGGCTTCTTTGTTTTATTTATTTTATTATTACAGGTACTTATATAGCGCTGTCAATTTACACAGCACTTTACATATATGTATTGTACATTCACATCAGTCCCTAACCCTCAAGAAGCATACAATCTAAGGTCCGTAACTCACATTCATACATACTCATACTAGGGCCAATTTAGACAGGAGAAAGTTAACCTACCAGCATGTTTTTGGAGTGTGGGAGGAAAACGGATATCTGGAGGAGTCTCAGGCAGGCACAGGGAGAACATGCAAACTCCAGGCAGGTGGTGTCCTGGTTGGGATTCGACCCTAGTACTGCCAGGCAGAAGTGCTAACCATTAAGCCACTGTGCTGCTCTGTTTTAAATATTTATCTCTGCGGTATAATGTGGCCAGAATTGATGAAGTCTAAAGAACACATAACAATCAGATTTCAGTTTATTGCGGCTTTGAAAATAGATTCTGATTGGTTACTTTGCACTACATTACAGTGTACACTTTTCTCTTTCTTTTACTATAAAAACAATGAGTAATTGTTTACAACATCTAAAATATACATAGCATACCACTTGTAATATAGCACTAAGGATCTAAAAAAAGATCAAGATTGCCAATCATTCTGAATTTGGGGGTATTTTATAAATTCATAACCAACAAAAAATGGTATACCTGTTTATCAGATTAGCACAGATGTATACATTATAATTTTATAAAAGCAAAAACTCATATATGAAGTATGCATTTATTAGGCGGACAGTGTCTGATACAAGTGGTGTTAAACTGTTGCTTACCAGAGATTGGACTCCAGCAAACAAAGCTTTTAGTCAATCCGATATAACCCCGAACGCTTCTATCAAGATCCAGTTTTTTTGCTAGTTGTCTTAAAAGAATGGATTTCTTCTTTATCTGAGAGAAGTAAAACCCTTTCTGCAAAACTTCTACTATCAAGATATCCTTGCTTTGCAGTCAAGATCATTAGTTTACTGCAGAGCCTGAGAGATCGTTCATGCAGTTTTCCAAGGCTCATCATCTGCATAATCTCAGAGTTGTACCTTGACCCTGTCATGTGTGACCGGCCTGTTATGTGATTCCCTTGGGCACTGGGCTGTGCTGTGGGTGCTCTTCCAGATACCTGGTGTACTGTGTGAGTCAGCTACAGAGTGCGTTACAGGTCCAGCCACAATACACCATTGACTGCATTGTGTGGGTTTGTCCCAGCTTGCGCACATTGTGTGGACTCCAGGGCAACTTCTGCAAAATGGCTGCAGTAAGTTAACGGTCTTGCCTTTTAGGGGAGCTTGGTGCATGCTTTGTACTATTGCTCTCTGCAAAGAATAGCAGATCTAGCTGCTGCTTTGACACAGCTCTCTCAGGGAGTTATTGCTGTTGCTCCAGGAACAGGAAAGACCTGAAGACTCTCAATTTTCAATCAAGCTCAATTTCTTCATGGAATCTGTCAGTTCAGTCATTGCTTCCCTCCCTCTGGTGGCCCTTCTGGCCTCTGGATACCAGTGATGCCTACTTGTTTATTCCTTACTTTTCAGCACATCAATGCTACTTGTATTTTGCGGTGGGCATCTAACATTAACAATCTGTAACCCTTACCTTCCAGTCTGTCCTCTGCAACTTGAATTGGCACCGAAACACTAGCTCCCTATGCTTTGTTCACAGGGCATCCGCATAGCAGGATACCTGGACTACATTCTCCTGAAAGAACAGTTGACATGGGCTCTTGGACTCTGCAGTCTTAAGAGTTGTCCAACCCTTCGCTTTGCATGATGGTTTAGGGCTTGATGGTTGCCTTCTTCGAGGCAGTTTCATATGCCCAATTCGGGGGTGGAATAAAGGATGCAAACTTCATATGATTTTTTTTTTTTTTATGTTTTTAGACGTTTGTAATGTAGAAAACAAATGTATTGGTTGTGGTAGTCTGATAAACAAGTTATATTTTTTGGGTTTGGGACTCCCACTTGTATAAGTGCAGTTGAAGCTCTGCTGAAGTTTTACTATGGGTGATTGCCAAGCTATGATTATTTAACTGATAAAGTGGTTGTAAAGGCTCAAGATTTTTTTACCTTCCTGCATTCTGCAGCAGTGCTCCCAGCCTCTTCAATACCTACCTGAGCCCCATCGCGATCCATTGATGTGTACAACAGCCTCGGCTGTCCTGGGTCTCTGCCTCCTCATTGGCTGAGACAGCAGGTGGGAGCCATTGGCTCTCGCAGCTGTCAACCACAGCAAGTCAGCCAATTAGGAGAGAGAGGGGACATGGCCAAGCAGCGGCTCTATGTGTGAATGGACACACGGAGCCGCGGCTTGGGCATACACCTGCTCAGGTGCCCCCATAGCAAGCTGCTGGCTATGGGGGCACCCGACAGAAAAGAGCAACCAGGAGTGCCTGCAGGGGACCCCAGAAGAGGAGGATCCAGGCTGGTCTGTGCAAAAGCACTACAAGGAGCAGTTAAGTATAACATGTTTGTTGTTTTCTGAAAAACAACAAAAAAACAAACAAACATTTAGTGTCGCTTTAAGTGTTAAAATGAAATTTTGTACTTTTTCTTTATTTTCTTATCAATTATTTATAAGAAAATAAAGAAAAAGCAAAAAATTTCATTTTAACATCTTTAAATTTTGACTTAAAGAAAACATGTAGTAATCTCAATTTAATTCACTTACAGGTTCAATAATTTCATTGTTGCTATTAGCATATGTACCAGAATCTGTGTATGTAGCAGCCTGCTGTAATTTCCTGCACAACAGCACTCGGAATGCTCTATTGTTTTGCATAATGTTCCTCAGCCTAACATTGAACTTGACTATAGGTAGTAAAATTACCTGTTCAATGTTCTTTTATTTCCTTAGGCCTCCTGTACACAAGGCATAAATTATGTCTCTTTTTACAGGCGATTGACTTTTTTTTTTTTTCGTTTCAGCCTGTAAATACACCTCTATGTGACCCTGCACACATAGCGTTTTATAGGTGTGTTGAAAGAGGAGTCTTTAGAAGCTGGAAAAGAAAACACTTGCATGCTCAGGAGAGGTGCTTTTGAGCAGAGAAAATGCTAGATGCAGTTAGCGCTTGAGCATTCATGTGAGCCTTTAGTTGTTATACTTTAAATACCACCAAAAGAAAGCACAATCTGTCTAAAAACAAAATGATAAAAATTTCGTTTGTGTACAGTGTTGCATGACTGACTAATTGTCATTCAAAGTGTGACAGCTCTGAAAGCTGAAATTGGCTTGACCAGGAAGGGGGTGAAGGTGTCCGGTATTGACATGGTTAATGAAGTATGTCCCATGGTGTGCAGGCTGCTGAATGCTGTAGGATTCCTAGTTCAGGACTGCCTTGCCTTCCTGCTGCTGAGCTTTTTGCACTGTGGGCTTAGCGGTTTTTGGGCTCACATGCCCTTTCCTCTACTGCCCTTTCACTGATTACACGATCTATAAATGGGGGAGAGAAGCCTCTGCCCCTTATTCACAGTTGGTGTTGCAGACAGTGCAGTCTGTGGTGTTGCAGGAAAGTGCAATCTATAAAATGTTTTCTTAAGCTGGCCTTACAATTTTCTAGTTCTATTTCCTTTAGATTTACCTTCAGCTGTGTAGTGCAAGGGCCTGCCTGATTGCACACAAATTGCAAATGTTTTGGTTTGACCTCATATTTATATGGTTTTGGTAAATCTAAAGGAAAATTGTAGAATGAATGGCCAACCTTAGGCTGCTTTCACATTGAAAACATACAAATTACTGCGCTGCCTCTCCCAAAAACTACTTTTAATTAATTAAATAAATGAATAAACTCCCTACTACACAAAGGGTTCCCACAAATGTGCATGTGCTATAATGCCCCTTGGGCCCCTTGGGTTGGCAATTATATCCCTCCTCTCAAGTGACTAAATCCCAAATAGACCAATAAGTAAATACAAGGTGCTTAAATGACAATAGTGCTTAAATAGCACATATTTTTTGGGAGAGGCAGCGCAACAATTTTTATGTTTGCGCTCACACATTTGTTCACCTGTACACATTTGTGATTTTGCTAGCAGAAGCCAGTCTAATTGATCAGTCCTCTGCGCAGGTTATTCTCACATGTTTTTACATTGATCAGTTTTTTCAGTTCGGTTAAAAAAAAAAAAAGCATAAGAAAAATGCATGTAAAATGCATCAATTTAAACTTCTATGGTAGTCTTCACACTGGTCCATTGTTTTTCAGTTGCAGTTTTAAAAATGCTACATTTTTGATGCATGCACCAAAAATGCACCTCTCCGTTGTAATGAAAAACATGTCAAAAATGCATCGCAACACACCTGTGGGAAGTGCTTTGTCCAGTCCAGAGATATGGGGAAGAAATGCAACGCAAACGTATCAAAAATGCATATTCGTTTTTGATGTGTTTTTTTTTTCAACGGAACGCTGTGAAAGCAACCTTAGTGAGGAAGAGGGAGGGAGGGACGTGTCTTCATCAGATCAAGTTTAGTGTGGCTGAGCCCAGAGACATGAAGCTGGTAACCCCCACAGTACAAGAAGGTTAGCAGCAGGAAAAGACAGCGTAGCCCTGCAGTGTTGCTGAGAATTTTTTTTTTCTTTTTGCTAGCTAAATTCCAGCTTTAAATATCCACCTGTTTGGAAAAATGAAAAGGAAGAGTCTAATTGTTGGCTTTAGAATATTTGTGTTTTTAATTATGTATATATATCATTCTTTATGCCTAATGCAGTTTTTAGCTACACTTTCAAGATCTGATGCACTGGGTGTTAACTGAATCAGTTCTGGGAGGGGTAGGCTGAAGGCACAAAACCACTTGCAATCAGCTGCCTTTGAAATCAAATTGATGCATATTTCCAATAAACTTATAAATACAGTTATTGAAATGTTTATAATGTAGCTTACCTTTTATCTCCATATGGGTTTAGTCTTCAGAATTTCCCGACCTCATGTTGTGTTCAGATTACTTGCCCGACTTGCTGAAGCAATCATCTACTTCGCTGCAAAACTCAGAACCCTCGTGTGACCCTGTGTCACTAGAAGAACTGAAGGCCATGGACCTGCCATCATTTGAACCGGCCTTCTTGGTCCTGTGCCGTGTCCTTTTAAACGTAATTCATGAGTGTCTCAAATTGAGATTGGAACAGAGGCCTGCAGGGGAACCATCTCTTCTAAGCATTAAACAGGTTGGTATTAGGTGGATGGAAATAAACTTTTTTTTAATGTTTTATGTATTATAAAATCTTTAAAAGATCTGGATATTTTGTCGGGTAACTCGCTAAATTTGCCAGAAATTTACAGACCATCAAAGTGTGTGTGTAGGGGGGTTGTTCCTTGGTTTCATGTAGAAATGCAGATTTAAGGTTAATATTATTATAGGATAAATATTATATTAGCTAGTCAGAGCAAAATGTTAGTGTAGTTTAATTCAAAATGTTTTCTTGGAAAGGATAATTTATACATCATAATTACCCTCCCTTCAAGATGTAATTTGGGTTCTGTCAAATATGGCTGCTGGTTGCATCATTAAAGTGATTGTAAACCCTCAGCTTGTGAAATAATTGAAAAGCAAAACATTTGTGTATACATATAGAAAACATGTTTTTCCCTTTTTTTTTTTTTTTTTTTTTTTTTTTTTTGTTTAAAGTGATCACATACACTCTGTTCTCAACTGCAGAAGAGCTAGGAGAGGAGGGACAGCAGCACACTGATTTTCCCAGTGAAAGGCTGTGCAGGGAAGGAGGGGGGGGGGGGTTGCCAGGACGAACATGATCATTGGAGGTGAGCACACTGAGTTTCCAGCACAGCTAGAGAACTGACCATGGTGTGTTCTTTTGCCTAATCTGGACAGTTTTTAATAGGAAATGCAGAGGGACTGGCAGGAACACCAGGGATTTCACACAAAGGAACCAGTACACAGAGAACAGGATACTTTATCATACAAGTACATGGTACAGCAGGAATATGAAATGTTGAGTTTACATTTTCTTTAAAGGATAAGTTCACCTTTGGGAACATGTTACATGTTCCACCTGTTTTTAGGGTGGAACATGTAACATGGTCCCATAGCCGCAGCCGTGAATGAATTAATTGAAAGTTTTCAATGAACTACCCTCTGCACTCTCAACACAAACTGACCCCTATCCCCAATCTCTCCCTCCCCAACCACGATGCCCCCCTGGCCTGCTCTTGCTCTTTTGCCTGCACCCATGCTCTTACAAACGCCACTCATGCTTACCACACTTCAACCAACCCCCTTTACCCTAGCATCTAGATTTGTAATAAAAAGTAGGGAAAAGTAAATGAGAAAATGTAATCTCCACATCTATGGCTGACTGGATAGCGGTTTATGAATAATGGATTTAGAGTGAAATGCTGTGTTCATATTATCCTGACTAATAATGCAAAATTGTGTTTCTGAAAATAGTTAGTAAGAGAGTGCAAAGAAGTGCTGAAAGGTGGACTGCTGATGAAGCAATACTACCAGTTCATGTTGAGAGAGGTGCTGGATGACTTTCAAAAGCCCGACTGTAACATTGATGCTTTTGAGGAAGATCTGCATAAAATGTTAATGGTAAGTATTTTTGCACAGTTTGTAGTATGTGTTTTTAAAATGGTAAACAACCAGTCATTTTGAAACTATCGTGTGCTCAGAAGTTTTTTTTTTTTTTTTTTTTTTTTTTTTTTCTTCTCTTCTTTCACCCAATTATTAATTAATAGAAGTGAAAAGAACGGAGGTCAACACCCTCGGTAGTTAGCAGTAATACTGCTAAACGCAGAGATTAGTACTGTTTGGCAACCATATAAAATTGTCTTAGAATAATTCTATTTGATTATATATAATGAAATAAAACTTTATTTGCAGAAATTTTGGGTAATGGTATGGCACAAATGAACCAATAATCTCCCTGAGAACAGGAAGTGGGAGAGATATATTCGATTATTCTTGAATGAGTTTTAGGGGTCACACTTCCACACCAAATTTGCTCATGGGGAGGTATTTCATCCATATCCATTGAGCTGCATTTTGCTATACACTACTGCAGATGTATGGTATGAACAAGAATCATAGAAAACATTTTTTCTATGTGCCCTATTCCACACCATACATGTACAGTGGGGTGTAGAAAAATGTAGCTCAGTGGACATGGTGTTAACCTGCCCTCAGCCTTTCAGATTTTGCAGTATTATCTTGGACTCCTAAAAGTAATATTAAAGGTTCCTTCTTTTTAAATAAAATAATAGACATACCATACTTACCTGCTCTGTGCAATGGTTTTGCACACAACAGGCCTGATCGTCTTCTTCTGGGGTCCTCCTCTGATGTTCTTGGCTCCTCTTCTTTGGTGAATACCTCCATAGGAATCTGCTTATTCCAGAGCTGCCCTGTCTGCATCTTCTGACACAGACCAGGAGGCTCCCCCCCCGTATCTCGTCACGGCAGTAGGAGCTAATAGCTCCTGCTGATATCAATCTGCCCAGGGATGAAGGACAGGGGCGGGAGAGCTTCTGCGCTCATGCACTGCGCTTGATCATTAATGGGCTCATGTAAGTATAAGGGGGAGTGGGGGAAATTCTGTTACACAGATGTGTTTTTGTTTTGTTTTTTTACTTTAATGCATAGAGTGCATTAATGTAGAAAAAACTTATAGGCTTTAGAAGCACTTTTAACAATTTCACAATTTTTTTTTTTTTTACCTGACTGCAGAAGCTTGTGTCATGGTTTCACTTTAGATAATCTTGTTTAGCTTGTTTTACAGCAACATTCATTAACTAAAACATTTGCGCATTAAGACATGATGAAAGGAATTTGAAGCCTAAAAATCATTATTGCTTAACCCATAAAGTAAAGCAGAGTACAGGTTTCCAAAGCTGCCAGACTGGAGTGTAGCATTCATTCATTTTTAACTTTAAATCCTGCCCAAACATTTTTTTTTTTCCTCTTCATTTTGGAAAGTGTGGGGAAAAGAACCAGAACTGCTGTCAGGTTTTTAATGCTATCCTGGACTCCCCTAAGGAGATGCCTAGTCACTTTATTGTTGTACCTGTGATTATTTTTTTTTTTTTCTTCAAGACCAGATGTAAAGGATGATTTCCAACAGCAACACGAGACAGCAATAAACAGTTGACAGGGGTTTTAACCTTCCATTTTATTGAAAAGAACAGAAAAGGCAATTTTAGTTCTGTCTTTAATTCTGTTCCTTCATTTGCTTTCTGGTAAAACCATTGTCACCGTGACAGCAAGTAAGGAAAATCCCTCTAATCCTGGATATTAGTAAAACCCAACAAGAGTTCTACTCTTTTTGCACTCTGTACAAAGCAAAATATAGGCTGAACATACAGTCAAGTATGGTAAATGAAATGTGATAGGCGGCTATGGGTTTCTGCACTTGCAGATTTTCACCCTGAATATTTTACACATTCCTTTTGAAAACCAATACATTCTGTAGTTTGAATACCCTTTGCTGTTTGTTTCTTTTCTCACTGTGCTAGGCGAAAAAGTAAGCCTGTCTCTATCCAGTTGGTATTGACAGGCTCCAGCTTGAGCATGCACATACTTTTCGGCAGCCTGGACACCCTGAAATGCCACGTTGCTCTAGCTGGACAATCTTGACTGTACCTTGTAGTGTTGAGTGCTGGTTCTTCCCCTTTTCACATATTTCGGTTGGCCAGTAGCACAATCAGTCATAGTGGTGGGCCAATGACAACATTCAGGAGTCTTTTCTCTTGTTGTCTTTTAACCTTCACTGTTTTAAAGCTTATTGCCACCACAGCTGATGCAATATTTAAAACACTACATCAATTTCCATCAATACACAAAATACTATTCGTTAAGTATAGTTTAAAAATGTAATTTGCCAAGGTGATACCCTTTAACAGCTGCCTTTGTAAAAAAAAAAAAAAAAAAAAAAAAAAAAAAAAAATGGATTCTTTATATAGAGCAGTTGGTGTGTACTAAATTGAATATTACCTTTTTTGTCCTGTTCATTAAGGTGGGGGGTACTTGTAGAGTATATTTAATCTCAGTTAAGGAACTTTAAACGTTTCTAACATTTCCCACTCTATGCAAAACAAAGTTTGATGATTCTGTCATGAAGTGAGAGTGAGGGTCTTCTGCTGGTCTCCTAAAAATGCTAGTTGTCTGGTTGTGCCTGACATAAGAACTTTTGAATAACAGACCAGAACAAGAATGCTTTAAATCATTGTTAGGCCTATTGCATACTGCTGCCTAAAAACGCAGCATTTTTAAGCATACAGGCATTTTTTTTTTCACTGATGTAAATACAGACCAGTGTTTTCAATGCGTCTGTACACAAGAGCATAAACATGTTTTAAATTAGCACTTTCTGATGCTTTCCTTGCTGTAGCAATTTAATATGCCTTTTAGTTAGTAATAGCCTTGTAGTTTTTGTCGCCCTCTGAAACTTTAGGGAGTGTCTGAGGCTTTTTGTAGAAGGCCTGGTACTGGCCTTGACATCACCAACGTGACTTGCTGCAGCTGGTGAAACTTGCAATGTCTGAAGGTGTATGTGACAGAGTGTGCCTGCACAGTGTCGGTGACAATTTTGAGTTCTGATGGATGGTACAGGCAGAGAAAACTGTAACTGATTGGAGGAAAAGCTTCAGAGTGCTGGAGGTGTCACAGGCAGTAGCCAAAAACCCTGGTGATGCCATGGCCAGTACAGGACATAATACAGAGGCTAGGAGGGGAAAGTGAAGGGCCACTCAGGGCTGTCCAAAAGTGTTAGTGTGTGAACAAAATCTACATCACTCACAAAAGACAATATTGAAGGGCAACATCACGAAGTGCTAATTATAAACACAATTTATTTACTTGATTTGCACTCATTTTCCCCAGAGCTTAGTGAATGTGCTGAAGCTCTGAGGATTTCCTGTCATGTGCAAGCAAATATGCAGTTTTTTTTTTTTTTTTTTTGCAATGGATTGGGTTTTCTTTACAAAGTGAAGCTTTACCACATTCACTGAGCTCTGGAGAAAATGAGCGCAACTACGCTTGCAAAGTGGGCAATCTGTTTGAACAAGCCAACCCCAATGTGTTTTTAGGCCCCATTCACAAGTGTGAATGGGCCTTAAACCTTCTTTTCATGTTTCTTTTTTTTTTTTTATCACGGATAGTGTAGTTAATAGTTCTTACGCGGTCTTATTGTATTCAGTCTGAGCATATCCGGCAGAAAATAATAATCAAGCTCTGTAGGCTTCCCCCAAGGAATATACTTCTGACCATTGGAAAGTAGTGGGCACCGAAATGAAAATTCTGGTGCCAAAAATTCAGAATGCATGTGGCCAAAAACTGAAACAAAATGTCTGCATATGTGAGGAAGCTCCAATTTTTTTTGAATACTTTCACGTATGTGTGTGTATGTATGTATGTATATATGTGTGTATATATATATATATATATATATATATATATATATATATATATATATATATATATATATATATATATATATATATATATATATATATTTATTATATATTATATATTTTTTTTTTTTAAACTTATGATTTTATTGCTATCACATAGGAGACCAATAGTCCCCTACGTGATAGCATATGAGTGACTGTCCATGTTTGTAGGGGGAGGGGGGGCAGTGTGTGCAAGTAGGGGGCAGAAGAGGAGCAGTGTACACAGTGAGGTAGCAGTGTATACAGAAAAGTTCCCTCACTGGCTGTCACTATATGTCAGTACCAGTTTTTAAATGCAATTGCCTTTTTTTTTTTTTTTCTTCTTCACCATTTTAGCTCGGGAAAGAAACTAAAATGAAACTTTCTTTTAGCTGGGGAAAGTGACAGCTGATTCTCTGAGCTATAGTGAAGAAAAAATCCCTCAAGCAATTGCATTTAAAAACCGACACTGACGTAGAGTGACAGCCAGTCACTGTATACACTGCTCCTCTCCTGCCTTTCTCCCTTGCTCAACAGTCCTTTGCCAGCACCGGCATCTTCTTTTGAGTAGCGTTACTTCTGAAGTCTTCATTGGCCAGCACAGGATGTTGTTATTCCTGCGCATGCACAGGAGGCTGTCATCTCCGCACTTAGAGACCAGCTGAGCTCTGTAAGCTGAGATGCGCAAGCATAGCTCAGTTTGCAGCTCCAGAGAAGACAGCAATGAGGCAGATATGGCATTTTATTGCAAAGAGACTTTGCATGTCTCTTCTGCAATAAAAGCTTGCCGGCTTACAGTTTGTTAGTTTCAGTTCCACTTTAAGGTGTATCATAATTAACCCTCTCTCTACTGTGCTGGCAGATCTCATTAACAGTTGTAAACTAGTTTTGAATGCTATCTGTTCTAACAATGAGGTAAAGAATTAGAAGCCAGTCTCCATCATTATGTATTGATGAGGATAGCTCAGTGTGTCTGTATTGGGCCAGATACACTATGGGATTGTCTAGAATTGCTTGCATTCTGTCATGAGGCCGGCTCCTTAAAAAGCAAGAAATGTTTCTTTTTATTTTGTTTGCTTTTATTTTGTTTGTTTTTTTAATTATGCAGTGTGAACTGGAACATATAACAAAAACAGGGTTTTTTTTTTTTATTTTTATTTTACTACAAACATGGAAGTACTGTTTTAAGGCTGTTTGTATTGTCTTGTACATTGTGATGTGAATTTATATAGATAAATGTGTAGGTAATTTTCTTTTTTTACAGTATACATTATGTATAGATCTGTGAGGTTTCTTGGCGATTATTTGTTTTTCACATTTACATTGCGTTTTTGTGTTTTTTTGTTTTTGTTTTTTTTACCTCCAAAATTGTAACTAAACAATGATGTCCTTTTTCCATTAGGTGTACTTTGACTACATGCGTAGTTGGATCCAGATGTTGCAGCAGTTACCTCAAGCTTCCCACAGCCTGAAAAACCTTCTAGAAGAAGAATGGAATTTCACCAAAGAAATTACTCCTTATATACGAGGAGGAGAAGCTCAGGCTGGGAACTTTTCTGGTATTGGCATGTTTTATGTAGCCATTTTTTATAAACAGACCTCCTTGGCATGCAGAAGATGTGATTTTAAAGGGATGTTATAGTGGTTCTGTATTTTCTGTTTATTGGAACAGGAGTAGAAGTATGATATATTGCATATTAATATAGTGGACTTTCATATACAGCCAACAGGTGAAGCCACATTTCACATTTTCCAGTTTCTTCTTTCAACCTGTAGTAAAAAGAGTGGTGTTTACAGAGCTTAGTAGCGCAACTAAAAAATTGCACAAACGAATGAATGAGACAACTTATTCACTTATTCCCTTACATGGTGCTTTTAGTGTGTGTTCTAGAACCGTCAGATTCTGTATTCTACTTGAAATATGATCCCCAAGAGGTAAACTTTATGAATCCATAGGCTATTGCTACCATTTACATGAATTGGATCCTAAATTTATTAAGACACTTTTCTTTATCATACATCATGGGACACAGAGCAGTCTATTCATGTTTATGTGGGTTATATTCCACCTATAGGTGAATTGACATTGGCGGATCAATCATACAGGAAGTCCTCCCTTATATAAACCCTCGTACAAAGGAAGCATTTCAGTTTTTTCACCAGTGTCTGTAAGGTGGATGTTCACTGATGTGCTGCATGTGCTCTGGGAACATATTTGGAGGTCTGGAAGAGTTTCGCTGAGAATCGAGGACTTCAGTCGGATCTATTTGAAAAGCTTTTAGCCAAAATGGATGGTACCTGAGCCTCTCTGGATAGGAGAGAAGAATCCTCGGTTTGCCTGTAATGCAGCGTTGCGGCGCTGGACCTTGCGTAATGGAACCATGTGCAGTGTTCTGACCAAGGTGCTTTCCAGCAGGGGGCTATACAGGTCCAAGGGGGTGGACCCCAGATGTAAGGGGGACTGAGTCCTTGAAGGTCTTTTATGACTGAGCCCGCCATGATGGGTGAAGATTGGATTCCTGTTATGATTTAAAATTCTGACTGGTCATTCTCCTGATGGCCACTGGGGGCAGTGTGCTGTTTGGTCTGGCCGGGCCATGCACTGTGTGTCTCTGAGGGAGTATTGGGCTGCAGTTTTCTCCTGAGGCCACGAGGCTGCTCTGCATAGCCTACTCTTGTTTAGTGAAGGAAGGAAATAGAGTGGTGGCCATTTTGGCTAATGTTTGTAGTCGCATGTGGGCTGATGGATTAGTGAGGCTCCTGAGAGATAGCAGGGACATAGAGCAATCTATAGCTGGATGATGATGTTTGTGAGTATTACCTTTGGGGGAGCTGCATGATCAGACAGGATACGATTATACAGTGCATTAGCCTGCATAATCTTGGGGGGACTTGTACAACTGTTTCTGATACACCCCTGCCTAGGTATCCGTGTATTTAACGGAGTTGGGTCTTCAGAGTAGCTTGCGTTTAATCTGCAGGAGCTTACATTTAGGCTGCACTGAAGCAGCATAGAGGCTGCATTCAGGCTGAATTAGATGCATATGTGCTTGACTAGTATTGAGCCAAGTGCAGTTAATTTTGACACAGTTCTTTGATGAAGCAATGCGCTTCTAGAAAGCGAGGCGGTTGCAGCATTGGATTACATTATTACATGCATACTTGCATAATTATTTGAACTGTATATTTGCATAAACTGCATAAATACATGCATACTTAAATGCATAAACTGCATATGTACATGCACACCTAAATGCATATTTTCAGAGACTTGCAAACTTAAACTTTCTGTTAAAAAAACTAAAACCAATGCATTCACATGATGTACAGGTATATAAGGCACATCAAGAAATGATCCTCTTCCGCTTCTCCTGGGTCACTACTGTAACATCCTCGGGGGAACTCTCAACCAGTCCATGAGATGTAGGCAGATAAGCCATGGCTCTGCACAGCGTGCAGCCGCTACTGCGCATGCATTGATTTATAGTTTTTCTAACAGTTCAATAACCGTTCTAACAGTTAAATGGAGTTAAAAAAAAAGTGTAAAAAGTCAGACTGCCAGCAATTCATTGGTCCACCACAGACCCAAGCGTAAGCGAAACCCGGAACCCAGAGTACATTCTCTGAGGCCATCTACCACACAACCCAGGGGTGATGGCCCCAGGAGTCACAGAGAGCAGATCCGAGTGCTTACATTTTATAGGCAGTTACAGCAAACCGTTTTATCCTTTTTGAGATAAACATTTTAGTTAAGTGAATAAGAGGTGACCATTGTAAGCACTCCTGTTTGTGTTGAATGGTTTGCCTCAACCCTCTGCTACTTTATCTAGACAGTTTGGCCTATTAAAGGAATTTGAAAAAAACACTCACTAGCTGGATAACCAGGTGATAAAGGAAAAAAGCCTAAAAAAAAACTGTGAGCTGCAATTTAAAGTGGTTGTGGACCTTTCCTTCTACCCAGCGAAGTGACTGGCCTCAGGTGATACACGGAGATGAAACAAATCCTCCTTCATAAGCTTGTGTGAGCTTTCAGGAAGCAGGGGGGGAAGCTGAAGTTACACTCTGCAGAGCTCAGTGAGAGCTGAATGGAGGGAAGGGACACCCCCTTCACACAGTACAGAGGAACAGTGTGTGCTGGAGCTCCCTCCGCTGTTACCTTTTTACCTCTTGTTGTCAGGAAAACTTGTTAGAAGTGACTCATGCAGATAGCAGAGGAATGAGACAGCAGATAGAAATTACACCTAGTGCTGTAAGGGCTAAAAGGGGCGCATTGATGCCCCGCCCTCCAGACACAATGGATTGCAAATCCCGGCTGCTCGAGACCTGTTGATCATGTGATAGCCATGTATGAATTCATTCATAACAGCCTTGTTTCCTATGCTGTGATTAACCCACAACTATCACATGGTACCTGGGCCAATCACAGCACCCTGTACCATGTCGTTAGCTGTAGCCAATCACAGATCACTAGTGATCACAGCTGTCATGAATGTAACCATCATGTCATGACATTTGAAAACTTTGCTGTTACAATGTTCATTGTAACCGCAAAGTGTAAAAGAAAAGAAATCCATGATTACCTCCTAAGAGTAGTACAGTGTTACTTTGGTGACACCAAAGAAGAAAAAAAAGTCAAAAATGGAAAGGAAATGTTAAAACATGTATTTGTTTTTTTTTTTTAAACATACTATCACCATTCAGTGTCCCTGATCACCACCACAACTGCCATTTGATGATGCCTTACTGCACTGGTGACAATTTCTTCATTTAAAAAAAAAAACTGTGATAAAAAATTACAACTTCAGAAAACTCACCATGCCTTTTACTAAATGTCCCAGACTGTCTTTTTTTTCCAGAAAGGGGTCATCTGGGGCTATTTGTACTGTCCTGGCATTTTAAGGCCTCACGATGTGATAGGCCATCAGTACATCAGAATTGATCAGTTATCAAAAAAACAGTGGTGATCAAATACCACCAAAAAAAGCTCTATTTGTGTGAAAAAAAATAATAAAAATTTAATTTTAATTAGCTGGATGATTGGTGAGCCCGGGACTGATCCGGCACTGATGGCGGTGGTTTTCCAAAGAGGAAAGATTGCCTCCACTCATCTCTATGGCCTAGAAGCCCTGGAGCGATGTCATGGCATCACTTACAGTTCTGGCACGATGTAAACAGTGCCATTTTTTTTTTTTTTAAAGCATTAGATATTTTTTTTTTCTTTTTGGATCTAACACTTTCCATTGTAGAGGAGAGATGTGGGGTCTTATTGACCCAAGATCTCTCCATAAAGAGGACCTGTTACTAATTTATTTTTATCACAAGGGATGTTTACATTCATTGTAATAGGATTAAAAATGATTAAAAAAAAATAAAGGGACAGTGTAAAAATAAAAAAAAAAGTAATGGCCTGTTGGGTATCTATTTACATAACATTATCTTTCACATTTTATAAAAAATGGGTTGTGTCTTGTGGGTTTTTTTTTAATTCATTAAAGTGTATTTTTTCCCAAAATAATTGCATTTGAAAAACCCCCTTGCAAATGCAATGTGACATACAAAAAATTGCAATAACCGCCACTTTATTCTCTAGGGCCTCTGCAAAAATATATATATAATGGTTGGAGGTTGGAGTAATTTTCTAGCAAAAAAAGGTAATTTTTTTTTTTTAACATGTAGGAGTGTCGGAATAGGCGTGTTCCTTAAGTGGTTAAATAAGCACTGGGAACTTCTAGAATATTAGTATTGGGCATCAGGAACTCCAGCCTGTGGTCAACTTGACATCCTGTATATGGCAAAATAAAATAATTATGTACTTTAAAAGCACAGTATCTGAAGATCAGAAATTTCCAAAACCTGTGCACCCGAGCTATGCACTGTGGAATCCACTCATCAACTGGACATCATCGTTTGAAGATTTCTTCTATCTTGATTTCCAAGCACCTTGGACAAGTGTAGTAGGGGTATTTTGAGGCGTCCCATAGAATAATCTGAGACACATACATTTAGAGCGCATAGAGCATCTACTAGCAATGTAGATGTTGCTTAATTAATTTTAATAATTCCATACAGCATTTGCTGGTTTAAAATGTTTTAAAAAAATCTAGCTAGAGTATGATGATGTCGTATGAACAGACTGTAATTTGAAAATGTATTTTCTAGTGATATTGCAGGAATGCTGCTGAAATCCACTGGGAAGTTTCTGGACTCTGGCCTACAGGACAGCTGTGACGAATTCTTGGCCAGCACAGATGATAGCATTGTCTCTGATGAAATAAGGTAATCCTGGCCTGAAAAGTGTTTCTTATGTAACACGTTACACTATTGCCCTAATAAGGCAGCAAGACATTTTGTTTCTATGGTAATGACAGCATTTTGCTTTTGTTTTGTGTAAAAGTGGATATTTTTCAAAGGACTTAATTCATCTATTTGTTGACCTTCTTAACTGTATTCTCCAGGTTTTGGGATGCATACCAACAAATTAAACATTATTTTATAGTGTTTAGAAAGAACATTGAAGATCTGATTAATACATGTAGGTTTCTCATATGGCTGTGCTCTTCTGGTAAAGAGGTCCTGTGGTTTAAAAGCCTTAAACCTGAACAGGGAAAGTAAGCTCCAGGAAAAGTAAAAATTCCCACTGCAAGGGTTGAAATGCCCATTTAGATCTAGAGGGGCTACAGAAAGCAGTTTTTGTTACCACAGGTTCCTTTTTAGGTTGTAAGACTGTTTCCTGCAACTCCTTTTCCCCTCTGCTCTGGTGGTCGCATGTCTTTTGACATCATCAAGTGCAATGCAAAGCTCATAGTCCTGCATTATGAGGATGCCATAAAACAGTCCACTGCTGGATCGTAGGGGAGTAGAGGAGCCAACTGCCAGGGTAGCGGAGGGTCAGGTGAGTAAAACTGCTATTTTTGCAGCCCACTAGACCTAAAAGAGAATTTAATCCTTGTAGGAATGATATTTTCTTTCCCTGGATGTAGGCTTTAAGCCAAGAGTGTTTTACTGATGTTTCTGCACAGTCAGAATTACCTTTTTATGTAAAATAGAATTACCTTTTTATGTAAAATAATACTTTTACTTACATTTGCCCAGCTCTTCTGAACACATCTTCTGGCAGGAGAAAAGCAGCATAAAAAAAGCACCTAAGGTTGCGTTTTGCAAATTTGTTTGGGTGTTTATTCCATTGGCCAGAATATTAACCACTTCCAGACCGGACACTTTTACCCCCTTCCTGACCAGGGCAATTTTCAGCTTTTAGCGCTATCACACTTTGAATGACAATTGCGCGGTCATGCAACACTGTACCCAAATGAATTTTTTACCATTTTTTTGAGATAGATAAAGCTTTATTTTGGTGGTATTTATTCACCACTGGGATTTGTATTTTTTTTGCTATGTAAATGAAATGTCCAAAAATTTTGAAAAGCTTTTTTTATACAATTTTGCAAATAAATAATATTTCATCATAAATCTTAGCCAAAATGTATTCCGTTATCTTTTTAGTAAAAAAAAAAAAATCCAAATTAGTTTATAAGCAAAAATTAATTTTTTAAACATTTTTTTTACATTTTTATTTTATTTTTTTATATTTTTTATTTTTATTTTTACATACTGTCACCCTAGCAGTACAGTGTCACCATGGTGACACTGTACTACTTGTGAGGGGTGATGAAGATTTTTTTTTTTTTTTTTTTTTACACTGATTGCTTTTACACCCATATAGGATGTAAAAGCAATCATTTCTCTTTCTCTCTGTGTGCATTCTTGCACTCATTGAGAAGAACTGAGTGAGCTGTGATTGGTCACAGCTTGTCACATGGTACAAGGCTTTTGTGAATAGCCTTGTACCATGTGACCTCTGTGATCATTCACAGATTTCACACATAGTAAGCAATGATGTCAGAAGTGACATCTTGCTTACTACTTTGTATGTGATCACTGATTGGCCAATCAGTGATCACATGATCGGGACCTCGTACAGAGGTCCCGTCCGACGATCGGTGTTTCACTGTGTCCGGAGGACACAGCGGGCACCGGATCGCGGTGCTGCGCGCTCCCAGGGAGCGCGCACAAGCAGGGTGCGGGGAGGCCGTTTATAGACGGCCACCCGACCCTGCAGTGCCACCGTCCGGCCGTTTATATACAACAGCCGGTCGGGAAGTGGTTAATTTTATTTTCTGGGCATTGAAATTGAGTGCTCAAGTGCTAGATGTGTTTAGGCGCGTAAGTGGGTTTTTCTAAACGCTCCTCTCTTGAACATGCAAATGATGATTTTTTTTTTTTTTTTTTTTTCCTCTCAGCCTCTAAAAACTCCTCTTTTGACTCCCAGTGTGCATGAGGTCTTAAAATGACTAAAAAGGAAAACTCAAAATTAGTATTTTAAAATACCTGTAGTAAGGAGGGAAAAATTAGATGTGTTTTTATTATGAATCTGGCTCCCCATATGGAACTGATGGCCCATTTTTCTCTTTGACGCTTGATATTTTTAAAGTTGCATAAAACAATGTTTGGCATAGTTTGCACAGCTTGAAAACAAATGTCTAGTTGCTGTTTTATAGTACTGCATTTGAGAGCCTAACCCTAAGATTATAAGAAGGGAGTTTTTATGGATAAATTAGTTATTTTGCTACTTGGGTTGGGCTGCTTGTCAGTCATGGCTGTCTCCCAATAATAATTACACAGTACATATATTTGAAAGGGGGACGTAAGCACATGGTCTTATGTGTAACTGGTACATAAAAACGCCATCTTATATGCAAGTGGTACATAAACATACCATCTTAGGTATAAAAAGTCAGGAGTGTTTTTATTTATTGTATGAGAAGACATTGGTTATTGGCCTTTTTAAAGTTAAAGCTGGTTAACACTGGCTGAATATCAGCCGGTTCAATAGAAACCGGCTGAATTTTGGCCAGTGTGTACAGCAGCCTGTCCAACAGAAGCTGCCCTAACGTCCAGCTTTTGTTGACCAGGCATGCTGGAAAACCAGCAGCCGACTGGCATCCAATAAGTTCAGTGTCCTGGCAGTGGGGTGGTCCCCTTGTCAGAACACAATAGCTCAGCAGGGGAGATTGCTCTAGAACATTGTTTGTATTAGTACAGCAACCTTTCGCAAAAAAACCCCCAAAACTTACAGTTGTGCATAGGTTGTAATTTACTATAGTTTAGAAGCAAATATCTGTGTATGTTTTTATATGAAATGATGATATGCTGTCCATAGTCAGTTCATAGGGGGAAGAATTGCTAATACACTACAAGAATCAAATAATCTTTTTGTCAGTCTTTTGCATAGACGTGCATGATTTTATTCCACCATGCACTAAAAAGCACCTCCAGCTGCAAATTTGTGTAGGGCAGTGTTTATTCTTCCAAAGCAAATACACTCTTGCACACTGGTACTGATTAGTATACCAGTGTTTCTCTTCTCCATCAGTTTCTCTTTCTCACTCAGCTAATTTGACCCAAGCCCTGATAGAGAGGGGCAGGGGAGGGGCAAGCAAGGGTGTTTTGCAGGGGCCTGATGTCCTTATCAAAACCGGTGGCTTTGTGTAACTAAAATGGCAGGCTTGGTCCACCCGCTGGCTTGCATACAATTTTTGGGCAATCTTTAGGCATTTTGTTAAGGCACCCCTGAAGATATCTGAAGGCACCCTGAAAAAGGATGGTCTAGGGAAAGAGCAACAAAGAACAAGAAAAATCAAACCTGGTCCATTAACATCTACCAAACTTTGTCGGTAGAGGGGAAGGGGGGTGTTAGCTAGGATTAGCAGGTGCCCATAAATAAAGCCGTCATAGATTGCATTTGCAACTTAGTTACATGCTGGTGGCTTGTGAATGTTTGTTTTGCCTGAACTGTTTAGTTTGTGCATAAGTATAAATTCCTTCGTACTTTTCCACGTTTTGTAATATTGCAATCTGCAATTAAAGGTTATGCAAACCCTAACCTTTAACTGCCAGAATTACTAGGTGAAATTAAGAAAAAAAAGTTTGAAAAAAAGAAAACCGATGCAGCCACCACATCTATATAATCATAAGCTGCACTATTTTAACTTTTTTGGGGTTTAGCTATGCTTTAAAGTATATGGTTGCATTCAATTTTTTTCTTTATTTTTACTTGGTCATCCAGCCAGTAAACACTTCCTGTTCTAGGCTGACAGCATGCTGTATCTACGGAGGAACATCAATGTCCCTCTAGGACAGTCAAGGCAGCTGTTAGAAATCACAGGGCCTCCCATACAAAATTCCTGCTAAATCTAAAAGAAAAAACTGTATTGAGTTAATAGATAAAGCCGTGTGTGTGAGAATGATGTTTTCAGGCTCAATCGCATGGGTGCTGTGGCCTGTACAATGTGAATCATCAGTGTATTTAGTTTTTTTTCTTTTTATGTGGCTAGAGCTGTGTGCAGGCAGCCTACAGTGAAGGAAATAAGTATTTGATCCCCTGCTGATTTTGAATGTTTGCCCACTCACAAAGAAATGATCAGGCTACAAATTGAATGGCAGGTGTATTGTAACACTGAGAGACAGAATAGCAACAATAAATTCAAATGAAATGCATCTAACAAATTATGCACTGATTTGCATGTTCATGAGGGAAATAAGTATTTGATCCCCTATCATTCAGCAGGATTTCTTGCTACCAGGTGTCTTTCATACAGGTAACAAGGTAAATTCGCAAATGGAAGAAACACAAAACAACTGTCAGTCTCCCTAGGTCTGGTGCACCATGCAAGATCTCATCTCGTGAAGTATCAATGATAATGAGAACAGTGAGGAATCACCCCAGAACTACACGTGAGGATCTTGTCCATGATCTCCAGGAAGAAAACAATTGGTAACACACTATGCGGACAAGGATTGAAATCCTGCAGTGCCCTCAAGATCCCTCTGCTCAAGAAAGCACATGTCCAGGCCCATCTGAAGTTTGCCACTGAACAACTGAATGATGCAGAGGAGGACTGGTTGAAAGTGTTGTGGTCAGATGAGACCAAAATCGAGCTCTTTGGCACCAACTCAACCCGCCGTGTTTGGAGGAGGAGGAATGCTGCCTATGACCAAGAACAACATCCCAACTGTCAAACATGGTGGTGGAAACATTCTGCTTTGAGGGTCTTTTTCTGCTAAGAGGTCAGGACAACTGCACCGCATCAAAGGGACGATGGACGGGGCAATGTACCATCGAATCTTGGGTGAGAACCTTTTCCCTCAACCAGGGCATTGAAAATGGGTCGTGGATGGGTGTTTCGGCATGACAATGACCCAAAACACACTGTCAAGGCAACAAAGGAGTGGCTCAAGAAGAAGCGCATTAGGGTCCTGGAGTGGCCTGGCCAGTCTCCAGACCTTAATCTGAGGAGGGAGCTGAAATTTCGAGTTGCCGAATGTCAGCCACCAAACCTTAATGACTTAATGAGGATCTGCCAAAAGGAGTGGGCCAAAATCCCTCCTGAGGTGTGTGCAAACCTGGTGGCCAACTACAGGAAACATCTGACCTCTGTGATTGCCAACAAGGGATTTGCCACCAAGTACTAAGTCATGTTTTGTGAAGGGGATCAAATACTTATTGCCCTCATAACCATGCAAATCAGTGCGTAATTTGTTAGACATGCATTTCTTTTGAATTTTTTGTTGCTATTCTGTCTCTGTGTTACAATACACCTACCATTCGATTTCTTTGTGAGTGGGCAAACATTCAAAATCAGCAGGGGATCAAATACTTAATTCCTTCACTGTATGCTATGCTATGCTATGGGGATGCAGCAGCTGTAAGAACTCCGCTACAGGTCCTAATTTGACAGATGAGTGGATGCTGGTGTACGACTCCCAACACACAGTGTGCATTCGGGGTCACTCACCCACACCTGTCAAATTAGGCCCTGCAGCTATGTTTGTGTAGCTGCTGCATCCTCATCAAGTAACAGGCAGCTCCAGCCTCACAAACTAACCACTCATTCACACTGTATGGGCCAGAGGACCCTTGTGCATGAGTCCTTGATTATTTATATTTTACCATCTTTTAAATTATTTGTATTTATTTTTTTCTTCAAAACTGTGTGTGTGTGTGTGTGTGTGTGTGTGTTCTTGAGCCTCTTCTGCCCTGGGCAGTGAATGAACAGAAAGCCCTCTGTACAAAGGCTCCTGTTCACAACCTTTAGCATAGCAAACACTGTGCAAATATCAAAATGCCTTCATAGGTGTCTGTCAGTCTGCTTGAGCGGGCGTTCCTACGTTGATTGCACTTGCATGCAGACTGGTCTAGGTAACACCCACATGTGATGCGGAGTATGATTGAAGAAATTAAAATTAAATTAATAAAAAGGGTGTACCACGGACCATAAGGCTTAGGGAGGGAAGGACTAGATGATGCTCAACTTCTTCCAGTTAGGAAATGGGGTGGATTTTATCTGATTGCTGCAACTTCTTATGCACACTAGTAGAAGCTCACAGTGTGCAGGGAAATCAGAGTGAACCTATTTAGTACAGTGGAAGAGTGTGCACAGCTTGCAAGACTAAAGGAAAGACTGGAGTTCATTTTTAATGCAAGAGGCCTAATGTTTGTGTAACTTCCACAGGAGATCTGTTATTGAAACCAGCAGAGCATTGAAGGAACTTTTCCATGAAGCTAGAGAAAGAGCATCCAAAGCACTTGGTTTTGCTAAGATGTTAAGAAAGGTATTGCATATATTTTGACTTTAAATGTTGTGGGTTTTTGTGTTTTTGTTTTGTTTTGTTTTTTTTTTTGTTCTGTTTGTTATATACTTTAATTGAGCTCAGCAGAAACTGCAAATGGTGGCAGTATAATACATTTCTGGACAACCTAGACGATGAACACCACATCCATATATTAATTACTTCATGAGCCCTATTTTATTATGGTTGTGTAAGTACAGAAATATCAAACCTGTCTTCGTTCTTCTAGTTGAGCTGATGGGAAGATTGGCTTAGTTTCATTGAGGTTAAGAAAATATCAACAGTGAACACTTTAAACACCAGAAGCATTTATTGCTACAAGGGTAATCATAAAGGAGAAAGTACAGCCAAAGCTCATTTGGTTGTACTTCTCCTGTGGATCATAGGAGTGCAGTTCGTTCAGTACTCCTGTGACCCGTTTTCAGGCGACAGCAGGTTATATTCAACTGACATCACTGGTTCAGGCTGAGGAAAGATCCCGACTTTAAAGTTGGGATCCACTGACATGTCTGCACTGGCACCTGGCTCTCAGTGAGCTGCTGAGAATTTGAGTTTGCTGCTCCCACCCCCTCCACAGCCCAGTGCTCTAGTGAGCACTAGGGGGGGGGGGCAGAGCAGACATCATGACTGACAGTCACTGCTCAAAGCAGCAGGAAGAACTGAGTGATTATCGATGTCTGATCGCTCAGTTCTCTCCCTTAAAATCAGTGGGAGACGGATGTGGATTAGGATCGATGTTGCATCCACCTAGGTATGATTTAAAAAAAAAAAACAAAAACAAAAAAACAAAACTTCATACTTCTTTTAACTAGAATGAGGGTTCAATTGTCCAGTTGCATTGGGGGCAGAGTCAGTCCTATATATTTCCACCCTTTTGAGCAAGTTGATTGCCTACATCAAATAACTAGGATACACAATGTGTGTGCATGTATGCATAAGAAGTACAAACAGTAGGGTTGCTTGGAAGGAATATAAACTTTTTTTTTTTTTTAACCTAGAGACGTTAATCACTGAGGTTGTCCTACTCTGACCAGATTTTTAACTCATCTCTTGAAGTTCTGTATTTACTGTAATCAGGGCGGGTTTCAGAGTTAACTGAATTGTTGTCTAAATAAAGTTTTTGGTTTTGTATAAAATTATACAATTTTATACTTTGCTGGTTTTGTATTGACTGATCCTTTCTAAATACTATGCCTTTTTAGGACTTGGAAATTTCTGCAGAGTTTACTTTTTCTGCTCCTGTACGAGACCTATTAATGTACCTAAATGCAAAGAATTATGCAAAGGTAATACAGTTTCACTTTGTTTTATTTAGATGTGGTCTTTTATTCTAGCAGTAGCATATATTATGTCGGAAATGTAGGTGGCCAAGTGCCCCAGCAAAAATACCTGAGAGTTCAGTTGGTGTCTGCATGAAAGTTTCCAATTTAATTCCATAAAGTATTTTTTTTTTTGTTTTTTTTATTTAGACGAGTGCAGGATGTCATGCATTGCTGTAAGACTAAAGACGGAAATTTTGAAGCCATGAGAAAGAGAGGTTTTTTTTTTTGTTTTGTTTTTTTCATGGCAAAAAATAGATAATTTTGGAAAAACTGAAAAAAAAAATAAAAATCAGCATGAAATCGTTTTACAAATTGAAAGTCATTTTGTTAAACTGAGAATTTGAAATGCAGTGAATATAAAAGTATTGCTTGAAATAAAACTACAACTTATTCAGCTAATAAGCTAAACTTGATATTTAAAATTTTGCAATGATCCAGAAGTGTTTCTGGAATGAGAACTCTGGAAGGAAAAGCTACTTGCACTTTCATTCTGGTCCTCATCATTTAATTCCATAAAGTATTTTTAATGTCTTTAGGGCACTTTTGGAATGCAAAGATGTGTTTTGCCAGAATTCACGCACAGTATTTGTAAATTGCAGCTTTGCTCTCAGAAACTGCGCTGTGGAAATGTTTCCAAACTCTAGATGTTGGTTTCATCTTTTTACTGGGAGGAGGAAAAGAAAAAAAAAACAGTTTACTGACCAGACTATAGGTAAACATTATGCTGTGATGGTGGAGAGCAATAACTGATTGGTCAGACAAACGTACCCTCTTACCTGTCAATTAAGGCTTGAGGAGCACAGAAACTGTCATCTACTGTATCCCAACAATTGCCCAATTGTAGGAGGGTACACTATGCAGCCCACAAGCAAACAAAACTGGAGCCTTTCCCCTCTAGTGTCTACTAGTGGCAGAAATGCATATTTCTCTTGTTTGAGACCAGCATTGTGAAGTGCAGTGTTACTTAACCACTTCCAGTCCGGACTCTTTCACCCCCTTCCTGTCCAGGCCAATTTTCAGCTTTCGGCGCTATCACACTTTGAATGACAATTGCGCGGTCATGCAACACTGTACTCATATGAATTTTTTAGCATTTTTTTGAGACAGATGAAGCTTTGTTTTGGTGGTATTTATTCACCACTGGGAGTTTTATTTTTTTTTTTGCTATATAAATGAAAATGTCCATAAAATGTGAAAAGTGTTTTTCTTACAAAATTTTGCAAATAAATAATACCGTATTTTTCGCTCTATAAGACGCACCTGACCATAAGACGCACCTAGGTTTTAGAGGCAAAAAACAAGGAAAAAAAATATTCTGAACCAATGGACTGCAGACATAGTACAGGGGATGACCAGAGACTGCGGACACAGTACAGGAGATGACCAGAGACTGCGGACATAGTACAGGGAATGACCAGAGACTGCGGACATAGTACAGGGAATGACCAGAGACTGCAGACATAGTACAGGGAATGACCAGAGACTGCGGACACAGTACAGGAGATGACCAGAGACTGCAGACACAGTAGTACAGGAGATGACCAGAGACTGCGGACATAGTACAGGGAAAATACCAGGGACACAGTACAGATGACCAGAGAGACAGTGCGGGGACACAGTGCACACAGTGGGGGATGACCAGAGACTGCGGACACAGTGCAGGGGATGACCAGAGACTGCGGACACAGTGCAGGGGATGACCAGAGACTGCGGACACAGTGCAGGGGATGACCAGAGACTGCGGACACAGTGCAGGGGATGACCAGAGACTGCGGACACAGTGCAGGGGATGACCAGAGACTGCGGACACAGTGCAGGGGATGACCAGAGACTGCGGACACAGTGCAGGGGATGACCAGAGACTGCGGACACAGTGCAGGGGATGACCAGAGACTGCGGACACAGTGCAGGGGATGACCAGAGACTGCGGACACAGTGCAGGGGATGACCAGAGACTGCGGACACAGTGCACCAGAGACTGCGGAGTGGGGGATGACCAGAGACTGCGGACACAGTGCAGGGGATGACCAGAGACTGCGGACACAGTGCAGGGGATGACCAGAGACTGCGGACACAGTGCAGGGGATGACCAGAGACTGCGGACACAGTGCAGGGGATGACCAGAGACTGCGGACACAGTGCAGGGGATGACCAGAGACTGCGGACACAGTGCAGGGGATGACCAGAGACTGCGGACAGTAAAGGAGTTTGACCAGAGACTGCGGACCTTTGGGGAGGGAGGGGGAGCGGGTACCTGAATTTGACAGGTACCCGCTCCCACTTCCGCGGTGTTGTCCTTCCCTCTTCTTCCTGCGCCGGCTTCTGTGACAGTCGGGTGCCCACTGCGCATGCGCGAGAAGCGCTGCGCTTTGTGAATGGCCCGGCGCCTTCTGGGACCTGTGTTGTGTCCCAGAAGACACCGCACCATTCACAAAACGCAGCGCATGCGCAGTGGGCACCCGGCTGTCACAGAAGCCAGCGCGGGAAGACTGTACAGCGCTGGAGCGAGGAACAGGTAAGGCCCTGCAGGAGACGACAGCTGAGCGGCCGGCCCGGTATTCTGACATGGTGGCGGCAGAAATACCGGACCGGCCGCTTTATATTCGCTCCAAAAGATGCACTGACATTTTCCCCCCTTTTTGGGGGGGAAAAAATTGCGTCTTATGGAGCGAAAAATACGGTATTTCATTATACATATTGGCCAAAATGTGTTCAGTTATCTTTTTAGTAAAAAAAAAAAAAAAATAACCCAAATTAGTTTATAAAAAAAAATTATAAATTTTAAAAACACTTTTTTACATTTTTTTTTTTTTTTTTTTCAATATACTGTCACCCTAGCAGTACAGTGTCACCATGGTGACACTGTACTACGTTTGGGGGGTGATGAAGATCTTTTTTTTTTTTACACTGATTGCTTTTACATCCATAAAGGCTGTAAAAGCAATAATTTATCCTTCTCTCTGGCTGCATTCTTGCAGCCATTGAGAACTACTGTGAGCTGTGATTGGTCAGAGCTTGTCACATGGTACAAGGCTGTTGTGAATAGCCTTATATCATGTGACCTATGTCATATATCATTCACATATTTCACAAGTAGTAAGCAATGATGTCAGAAGCGACATCTTGCTTACTACTCTGTGTGTGTGATCACTGATTGGCTAATCAGTGATCACATGATCGGGACCTCGCACAGAGGTCCTGTACGACGATCGGTGTTCCACTGTGTCCGGAGGACACAGCGGGCACCGGATCACGGTTGTGCGCGCTCCCAGGGAGCACGCACAGTTCATAATGGCGGGCGCCGTTTATGAACGGCAACCCGCCCCTGGACTGCCACCCTCTGGCTGTTTATATACAGCGGCCGGACTGCAAGTGGTTAACTAGTATTCCAGGATTTACTTGCTTTCAGCTGAGAGAACTTGCAATAATTTAAGACTTTATATAAAGTCTCAGAAATCTTTCATTAAGGTTCTCATGTTATATAGTTTGAACACCATATCATAAACATATTATTTATCATTGTAAAAGAACAAAATCCACATTCCTCACCCTCCCCCCCACTTTTTCAAGGGGAAAAAAAAAGGCTGGGCGTATACCAACAGTACTGTCGGGATCTCTGCATAACCTGGACTGGCTCTGTTACATCAGTCTTTAGCCCACAGTCAGTTGAATCTGGGACACAGGAATGCACTGAGTATCTAAGTGCACTTGTGTGATCCCCAGGAAAAAGTCAAAAAAGCTTTGGCCTTAGTTCTCTTTTATCCCTTTTGCTGCCAGGTCCGTACGTTGTACTACCTGTCAGGTGGAACCAGTCGGGCAGCTGCGCTGCTGCCTTCTTGCTTCCCAGCCCCCCGGTAACAGCATGTATTCCGGGGTCCACTTGCTCGTCTACAGGCACAGAGCTGATATGACAGGTGATGGGGAAAAAAAAAATTATTACAAAAAATGTGTTATATCCAAGCGCATCCTAACCCACCACCACGCAAAAAAGAATTATGAGGCCCCCCTCCTCCACATATGCACACATACGAATGTTAAGCGCATGTGTTCGGGGTACCTACGTGTGAAAAAGTAATTTGCGATACACTTGGTACATATCGCTGCACACACCAGTGAGAGCAATAATTCTAGTGCTCAGAAAACACTAAACTGATGACCTGTAGGGGCTATTGAAGCATTGCCTATAGAAAATATAGGGTACTGAAGTTTGTTGCCATTTCACAGACACACACAAATTTAAGGTGTGACATGTTGGGTATCTATTTAGTCGGTGCAACCTCATCTTTTATATTTTACCAAAAAATTTTAGTGCTTTTTTGTGCTTGTTTGCCCTAAATTTCACAAATTTTGCATTTCTTAGAGATAATACCGTGTCACATAAAAAATTGGAACTACCACTATTTTATTCTCTAGGGCACATATGTCAAACACAAGACTCCTGGGCCGGCTCTGGTCTGCAAGGCCCTTTCATGTGGCCCTGTGACCCAGGGCTTTTTTTTTCAGATGGAACATAGCGGAACTCGTTCTGCCTACACTGCCAGGAAGTACTAGAATGGGGCCAAGTTGTTGAAATGCAAGAAAGCTTTTGGAGTGGGGGGGAGATGAGGGCTGTGGAGGGAGATGAGTACAGAAGTGGGGGATAGGGGAGACTGGTGCAGAGGTCAGAGCCGAGGAAGAGGGGTGGAAGGTGAGATGTGGACAGTCTGTGAAAGAGAGTTGCACTCTGCATAGCACACCCCTAAACCCTGCACTCTGTATGTTACACACTCCTCAACCCTGCACTCTGTACACAGCGTATCCCTGAACTCTGCACTGTCTACGTAGTTACTCCAGAACTTGGCATACATAGGCAGTTATTTCCTAAAACTGGAGAGTTCAGAATCTGGTGTAACTCTACATAGAAACCAATTTGCTTCAAGGTTTTATTGCCAAAGCTTAATTGAACAAGCAGAAGTTAGAAGCCGATTGGCTACCATGCAAAGCTTTACCAGATTCTAAGTACCCCAGTTTTAGTAAATCTCCCCCGTAGTCTTACAGATATGGTTGCCCTCAAAGGCCTGGTTGTAAGGCTGATGTGGCCCACGTTGAAATGTAGTTTAACACCCCTGCTCTAGGGTGTTTGCTTTCAGAAAATATATAATATTTGGGGGTTTTGTGTAATCTTCAGGCCTAAAATGATTTTTTAAATGTGCAAAAAATGCAAAAATGGCTCTTACAGCGAAAGGGTTAAAGCTGAATGTAGACTTCTGAATTTCTCTTACATTTATAATTGTGCTATTCTGTTCATTTTTGTAGATTATATGTAAAACTGGTTCCTAAATATTTATCTGACTTGCACTTATTTATTTTTAGTGAATGATTAGAATTTGCTCCATTAGAGAGATCTAGCAATAAAATTTACCACATACATGACTCAGTAGCAATGCTAGCAGTTCTAAATTGCATTCTATTGTAAATGAAATACTTTTGTGCCATGAATTTTTAAATAGTATCCAAGGCTAAGAACACACAGGTGTTGGCCCTTGGAGAATATTTTGGTGTTTCGGGTCATTAAATAGTGCATAGAGTTTTATTGTTTGACAGGCCTGTTTAGTAAAATACAGTGATACCCAAAGATAGAGCAAACACAGCTGATTTATGTGCCTAAAATTAATAAATCACAAAATCGACTTTAAAAATAAAATTAAAACAATATTAAAATACATCAGCAAAGCCAGTTTCCATAAAAGAGTGAGTGTTGAGACTTTCTCTACAGCTTTATGCAAGTGCCTTTGTAGCCTCATGGGCTGTAGCAGATTCACATCAACCTGTAAATATATTATGGCCTATGGTGCTGCAGGGTGCATGCACCATCCTGAAGAGGATGTATCAACACTCACATGTCTGTGGAAAACTGATCACTAACTTTCTGAGTAGTTCACAGTCATTTCTGCATTGGAAGATATTTTTTTACTCTTAAAAGGTAGAGCTCCAGAGGGAACATACTTATTTATGAGTAAATATAAAAAAATATTTTTTAACCATTTGCCCTTCTGAAAGATTTACCCCCTTTATGACCAGGCCATTTTTTGCTATACGGCACTGCACTACATATATATACATGTGTGTGTGTGTGTGTGTGTGTGTGTGTGTGTATGTATATATATATGTATGCATGTGTGTGTGTGTGTGTGTGTGTGTGTGTATATATATATATATATATATATATATATATATATATATATATATATATATATGTGTGTGTATTTTTATTTTTTATTTTTTTTACCCCTGGTTTTTTCAAATTATCCAAATAAGTATATATTGATGGTTTGTGTGAAAGTTATAGCATCTACAAAAACTATGGGATATATACTGGAATTTTTTTTTTTTTTTTAATATATACTACTAATGGTAGTGATCAGCGACTTATAATGGGGAGATAGTGCTCTGGGCTATCTGACACTAACTGACGCTTTATGGCAACTGACTAACTGCCACTGACATCACCAGTGACTTTAATACAGTGATCAGTGCTTATAATATGCACTGTCACTGTACTAATAACACTGGGTAGGAAGGGGTTAACATCTAGTGTGATCAAGGGGTTTACTGTGTGCTTAACTTTGTGTAGTATGTTGTGCTTTTACTAAAGAGCTTGTTGTTTTTATTTCTTGCTTAGCAGGGAATGCAAAACAGCAAGATCCCTTGTCAGTAAACAGAGCTCTGTCTTATTTACAATCACAGAGCTGTGTTTGATAAAAGACATTGGTAACTGGCATGTGCTGCAACCAGTCACAGCACATCTGACCGGTGGGCGTTCATGCGTACACCCTCTGCCCGATCACATACTAGGTAAATGACATGAAAATAGGGTGTGCAGCGCTATACAAAAAAAAACACACTATCTAAAGTATGGCAAAATATGACAGAAATGGAAAAGTCCTATAAACTGAATGTTAAACAGTCCAAGGTGGTAAAATATCAGTCCAAAAGGTATACTCCAGTGATGGAGTATAAATAACTTCAATCCAAATGGGTATATTCCAGCATCCTAACATGAAGGTGTAGAAAAAATTGCCCACTCACTAGGTACATGCTCTACCGACTGAGCTAGCCGGGCTATTCACACTAGGTACATGATCCAGTGCAGATGCGGTCGGCAAGCAATTAAGTATACAACCACTTTATTAACAGTATTCACAAAGGCAACAAAAAGGTTCTGACTAGGATTGCACTGATACCAATTTTTTAAGGCATGTATGCGTACCGATACTTTTTGTCAGGTACTCGCCGATATCAATTACTGAATACCTACTTTTCGTGCAGTGATACAAAATTAATGGGTTCAAATTGCACTGCAAAAGAATTTCATGTGATTTGAACAGGAATGCAGTGTGATTCCTGTCCAAATGATGTGCGCTTTCCTGCACCACTCCTGTGTGGTTCCAGGCTGTAGTCACTATGACAAGCCTGGGTTCACACAGGAGCGGTGCGAGAAACTGACCTTACGTATTTCCTACACTGTGACCTACCTGAAATCTACTACCACTGCCATCTGCACCGAGCATTGCCCCTTCCACTGCCGCCGTTCCTTCACACACAGGACTCACCTCAGGGGTCCTGGGGCGGGGAGAGGGGAAATAGACTGATGCAGAGGAACAGCCAGGATATGCCTCACCAGAGATGTAGGGGCAGGCAACATAGCGGTCTGGGGGAGGCTCCCAGCACACTCAGGATGGGAAGGAAAATTCCACTACCAGTACTTGTGCAAATGCTTTGTATTGGTATCAGTGCAACTCTAGTTCTAACCCTGCCTAAATGCTTTCTTAATGACAGAGCCGAACAGCTCTAAGCATGAGCTGTTAGGTAGGGTCTGTAGGTCTACCTAACAAATCAAATATAAATAAACTACAGAACAGTATACACACACACACGTCAAATCATCTAACATAATCTGAAAATATTAAAACCAGCCTACCATTAGTACTTAAATTGGTACTAAAGGCAGAAGATATTTTTTGTTTTGTTTTTTTTTTACTTCAATGCAAAGAATGCATTAAGGCAAAAAAACCCCAAAAAAACTTCCACAAGAAATGGCACTATCTAAGAGTACCTCAGAAAACTTCTAGGTATCTTCCTCAGGAAGCCGAATATACAGAACTATAGTAATTGTTAGAGAATAAAAATCACACACTTAGGTTGAACTGGATGGACCTATGTCTTTTTAAACCTTATAAATTATGTATGGACGTAAATGGGACTTCTTGGAGAGAACGGTTGCTCAGCTCAAGGTGCCTGCCACGAGAGAACAAGCCCTCTCCTAAGACACTTAAAAAATTTGCTCAGTATGTTAGAGATATCAAATGTATATTAAACTTTAGAATCAGGGATTCTGCAAATATCAGACTACCAGCAGAGTATGGAGCCTGCTGCTCAAAATTAATGCTGTAATAAAAGTTAGTTTCAATTTGAATCCATTTTTTTAAATAAACTATTAAAATGTCTTATTTATGTTCGATTGTAATATACATTTATATCCCGTTTGTCAACCAATGTTGTACATTTTACTTAGGACTGCAGTTCAATGTCTTGTCTTAGCCAGGTAACCTTTTACCTGATTATGCAAACGTTCACCTCTTAAGTTAATTAGACCGTAATACAGCTCTGGTCCTGAAGGTTTTCTTTTAAAAGGCCAAAAAAAATCTTATCGTTATTTATGTCCTTTTGCCTTAGGTCATAATTCCTACTCTTGAGAATCTGCATGTATTTGTACTAGATAACCTGTCTAAAGGAAAAGCGGTTATTTTGCAATTGCTGAATGCAGCAGCTGGTATAGACTGCTCTAAAGACTGCGAAGACGTGGCATATGATGCCTTCCTTCTGATGACCAAGCACTCTGAAAGGGACCAGGATGTGGAAGATATTTGGTGTTCTTGGGAAGGACAGACAGTAAAAATAGTGCCACCAGTGGAAACTGTAGATACTCTGAGAAGTATGCAGGTATGTTTCAACATGAAATAGTTTTCCCAATTCCTTCTTGACCAGGGAAAATATATACTTTTATAACCAGTCCAAACTTTGCATTTAAGCATATGTTAATTTACTTAAAGCAGTATTAAGCCCAAAATTAAAAATGTATTATATTGCAGCTTAACAATCAGTTGTGGTGACTAGATTAGATCAATTTCCTTTTCTTTGGCTTTTTCCCCTCTGTTTCCACTTGGTGAGTTGACTGGTAACACTCCTCCTGTATTAGTGAGACTCAACTCTGGAGGAATGAGATAAGAGACACAGAAAAAACAGCACCATCATCAGTCTGGGGTGGGGGAGTGTTGGATGAGCTAGCAGATATTTTAACAGTAGTTAATGGAAGCCAAACTCCAGCTAATACTTGATAAGCAGTTGCAGCAAATAGTTTTTCTCCGTTTTTGGGATATAGGGTTTACATGAATAATAATCATTTTAATAACCCTTGCAAGTGGTTTGTCTCATCCATGTAAACGGAGACATTCTGCTGGATATTCTGACTGGTTCAGCAGATGAAATTAGAAGAAAGAAAGCCTAAAAAAGGAAAATAATGCAGCCATCACATTTACAAATTGGTAAGCTGCAATAAAATAAATGTTTGCTTTTGGGTTTATTACTGCTTTAACATTTTAACTGCTTTGTATGTCAAAATTATTTATGTTTTCGTTTCTAATCCTCTGTGAACCAGTCTGCACACCTGTCCTCAACTGCTCTGAATGCACAAACTTTATCAAAACCAGAGCAGTTTATTTTTGTAATGAATTTTCCTGTGTCAATGCAATCAGCATGATTGAGTAAACTGAGATGTTCCCAATATTATCTGGATATAGCAACAGCGTGGCCCATACACTGCTAATGTTCTCCTGTCATTACTTACTTTTGCCATTCATTTACTCTGATTTCTATGTTCACCATACAGTGCTCTTTCTAAATTTAGATCACTTTTACACCCTTGTGCACTCATTAAAAGATAAGTTCACCTTTTTGGAATATGTTACATGTTCCTCCCACATTTAAGGTGTAACATGGTCCAGGTCCTACTGCCTCTCCTCCTGATCTCTCCTCTCTGGGTGACAGCGGGCAAGGGTTCTTCTCCCTGCACCCGCTGTCACAATTCTTAAACAGCCTAGGCATGTGTGGCTCCGGCCGCTTGGTAGTGTCATTCATTCACTTTTTCCTGGGAATGAATTACAAATACTGTCAGCCATAGCGGCAGGCAGCTTGTAGTTCTGTGCGGGTGTTGATGAGCGACATAGTTCATTCACAAGTTCTGCAGCTTTCAAATTGACAGCCTGTATGGAGGTACAGGCTGAAAGCTGCAGGGCTTGTCTACAGAAGCCTGACATTGCACCCCTGATCCATTGATCACGGGTGTAATGCTTTTCAGGTTCCTACAGGACAAAATAATGCACATTTTTTTTCTGCAAAAATATGGGCATTTATTAATATTTCTAAATAGGTAAATTTATCCTTTTAATGTGCATTCATGTTTTTCATTTAAGCTGAATTCCAGTTATGTTTGTTTGCTTTTATTTTCTTTGCATAGTTACATTGGTCAAGCATAGAAGAGAGATGCAGTAAGTTATGCATATTCCATATCTGACCAATCCCTGTGGAATTGGAGAATCATAGTAGTAGCCACCGCTTCTACAGTGATCACTACTGTCTTTGGGTCTTGTGTAGAGCTGCTGTCCTGCTGTATAATGAACTGTAAGGGTGTGATTAAAAAAAAAAAAAATCTTGTATTTTTTTCATCAAATACTAAACATTGTCTGATGGCATCTGTGCTGAGCTTATATGGTTAATATGAAGCAGGTTGCTATATAGCAAGGCAGCTATTCAGCAGGGGATCTGTAAGATTCCTATGCTAGCTGCAGCTATTACAGTGATTCTTCTCTTCCTCAGAGATCAGCCAGGTATGGAATTGGTCCAGACTGGACCAAAACATAAAATGGAATTCAGCTTTGACTCTTTTTGATTTAACAGACAAAGTGGTGAAGGAGCATTTACCATTGAACGTTCCTTTGATACAGTTGCAGAAAATAGGCAAAAGACCACGATACATGTTACTGTTAATTTCAGTTATCCTGTTTTACTGCACTTTATTACACAAAAAGTGCAGCACACAGTAATTTTTTTTCTTTGTTGTGGATTGAGGGATACGGGAATTCAGAAACAGCCAGGCTTTACTGATGCCTGTAAGAGGTTTAGGGCACCTCTAAGAGCCATCCCCCATATAATTTCATACTCCTCCGAGCACGGCTTAGTTCTTTTCTAGTGTCCTAGGACAGGGGTCTGCAACCTTTAAGACATAAAGAGCCACTTGGACCCGTTTCCGAGAGGGGAAAAAAAGACTGGGAGCCGCAAAACCATTGCAACATTTAAAACAAATCCGACACTGCATATATTGCAAAAAACGCTCTGGTCATGAAGGGGGTTTAAGGGCCCAGTAAGCAAAGGGTTAATCAGGGCCACAGTGTATCGTCATAATCACAATCATAGCCTTAGGTCAGTGGTGGGCAACCTTTTTTTTCGACTGAGCCAAATCTCGCCAAAACCACAATTGAAATTTATTTTGAGAGAAACATTTTTAAAACTGAAAATACATCCCCCATATAGTAATTCATCCCCCATATAGTAATTCATCCCCCATAGTAATTCATCCCCCATAGTAATTCATCCTTCATAGTAATTCATCCCCCATATAGTAATTCATCCCTCATATAGTAATTCATCCCCCATAGTAATTCATCCCCCCTATAGTAATTCATCCCCCATATAGTAATTCATCCCCCATAGTAATTCATCCCCCATAGTAATTCATCCCCCATATAGTAATTCATCCCTCATATAGTAATTCATCCCCCCTCATAGTAATTCATCCCCTATAGTAATTCATCCCCCATATAGTAATTCATCCCCCATAATATCCCCCCCTATAGTAATTCATCCCCCCTATAGTAATTCATCCCCCCTATAGTAATTCATCCCCCCTATAGTAATAGTAATTCATCCCCCATATAGTAATTCATCCCCCATATAGTAATTCATCCCCCATATAGTAATTCATCCCCCCTATAGTAATTCATCCCCCGTAGTAATTCATCCCCCCTATAGTAATTCATCCCCCATAGTAATTCATTCCCCATATTGTGTGAATTCACTTACCTTTGCTCCGCGCGTTCCTCTCGCTGGGTTCCCGCGCCGTTCTGGTCTTCAGGGCGGACTGTGAGAGGAGAGGAGTTCGTCACGCGCCCCCGCCTACATCCTGGCTGCCCCGCCTACATCCTGACAGCCAATGTTTGCCAGCGGGCGCTCGGCACACAGAAGATCTGCATTAAAAGAGCCGCGGCTTGCCGACCCTATTGCCTGTCACCTGGTGGGCAGTGTGCTCCGGAGCCGCAGGAAAGGTGAAAAAGAGCCGCATGCGGCTCCGGAGCCGCGGGTTGCCGACACCTGTCCTAGGAGATAGGACACCTTTTCTTCAGCTGGGCTGAATAGATTTCCGGTCCATCTTCACTGCCCCCTCTCCGTTTGCCTGGTTACCTCTGGCTGCCACAAACCCTCATCAACACCAGCTGCCTGGGATTGTGAGCATTCAAGGCATTGCATCATATCGTTTATTGTATTGTTACTGTGCTGTCTCGTGTACTGTCTCCCATTATAATGTACAGTGCTGAGCAAACTGTTGGCGCTATATAAATACTGTATAATAATAATATGCCATACAATAATAATATGCAAGTCAGTGCCATGACCTTAGCCCATTTTCTCTTAGGGGTGTTTATTATCCCCAAATGGACCTGATGCCTGCAATTTAAAACATGGGACCCCTATTGTCTTCTCACCTTCATCAGGCCAGGTTTCCCCCATGTCCAAAGAGACCTCCACTGTCTTTTGCCTGTCCAGTTTGGACTTCCTAACTCCCCAGCATAATGCCCACAGAGATTCTAAGCATGTTCCTGTTGCCATCCCTTGCAGAGTCTATCCCTGACTTTGAGCCTGTGAATGAAACTGGGCCTGCATGCCCTGTCGCCAATCTTTGACATGTCGGACAGATTCAGAATTCCACCAGCCTTTCTTCTGAGAGAGTTTTGAGGCACTGCAGTCTTCTGATGTTTACAGAGGGTTGTTTCAAAGCTTGTTGATGAAATGCATATTATCCTTCATCTGGATGATCAGCGTGCTGTTCCAGGCCTTGACTTGGAGAAGAAGACAACACTTCTAGTGTAATATGTGCAAATCTGTAATACATAATAATTGAACATAGAAATTGCACTTACAAAATCGGCAAGAAAAACATGCCAATTGCAATGAGAAACATTTTTCATCTGATACCACATTTGGGGTAAGTTCAGTATGGTAAAGGTCAACTAGTTTTCATGGAAAACCATGTCTGGGGAATTCACTAGTAGCAGGACTCTGGAAATTGCTCTAATTCGGGAAACACATAAACCACAGTAGTGCATTTATTAGATAAAATATATGAATCCACTCACATGTGATGGTAAAAAGCACCCATCGCTGTATCGGCTCTACAGCCTGCTGTGACTTAAGAAAGGGTAGTTGACCCAAAAACATGTTGCCTAGCAACCCCAATACTAGAAGTTATCCCCAGCTCTTACCTGCTCCTCACAGCTTATAGTTCAGCCACCAGTGTTCTGCTTTTTGCTGGATTACTGCTACACGCCTCCATAGTGCAGGAAAGGAGACCAGACTGAACTTCACAGCTTAAGAGGAAGAGACTGAATCAGCCTGACCACTGGCTGCGGTGGGCTGCAGAGCTAACACAGAGGTTGTGATGGGCGTTTTTTTTTTATCATTTAATGTGAATGGATTTATATGTCTTATCTAATAAATGGTACTTTTTTAATGCACTGTGGTTTATATGTGTCCTGAATCGGATCACCTTCAAGAGCAATCCCTACTAGTACTTAAGATGTAGTTACCCATGGCAACCAGGTGACCTTTAT